TGAACAAGTTGTGCCTGATTCAACTAACAGCCGTCTTATTTAACTAGGGTATGTACAGTTTAACAATGGGGGTGTCTACCTTTTGGGCGTGTCAGACATACCAAGTGGTTTATGGAACTGTGGGGCTGTTTTACTAAACCTTTATGGGAGAGATCAAGACAATTATACACGCAGAACTAGAGGGATGTGACTAAACAAGTTAAAGTGTTGTAGACAACTCCGTCATAAGTATCAAATAAAAAAATCCAACATTAATTAGATTATGGCCATACATCTATCTACCCGATCTTGCTACATTAACCGTGGTGAGGGGTGGATTTCATAGAGGTCCAGACTATATAACTGTGGTGAAGGGTGGATTTCATAGAGGTCCAGACTATATAACTGTGGGGAGGGGTGGATTTCATAGAGGTCCAGACTATATAACTGTGGGGAGGGGTGGATTTCATAGAGGTCCAGAATATATAACTGTGGTGAGGGGTGGATTTCATAGAGGTCCAGACTATATAACTGTGGTGAGGGGTGGATTTCATAGAGGTCCAGACTATATAACTGTGGTGAGGGGTGGATCTTATAGAGATCCAGACTACTATATAACTGTGGTGAGGGGTGGATTTCATAGAGGTCCAGACTATATAACCGTGGTGAGGGGTGGATTTCATAGAGGCCCAGACTATATAACTGTGGCGAGGGGTGGATTTCATAGAGGTCCAGACTATATAACTGTGGCGAGGGGTGGATTTCATAGAGGTCCAGAATATATAACCGTGGCGAGGGGTGGATTTCATAGAGGTCCAGACTATATAACTGTGGTGAGGGGTGGATTTCATAGAGGCCCAGACTATATAACTGTGGCGAGGGGTGGATTTCATAGAGGTCCAGACTATATAACTGTGGCGAGGGGTGGATTTCATAGAGGCCCAGACTATATAACTGTGGTGAGGGGTGGATTTCAAAGAGGCCCAGACTATATAACTGTGGTGAGGGGTGGATTTCATATAGGTCCAGACTATATAACTGTGGCGAGGGGTGGATTTCATAGAGGTCCAGACTATATAACTGTGGTGAGGGGTGGATTTCATAGAGGTCCAGACTATATAACTGTGGTGAGGGGTGGATTTCATAGAGGTCCAGACTATATAACTGTGGTGAGGGGTGGATTTCATAGAGGTCCAGACTATATAACTGTGGTGAGGGGTGGATTTCATAGAGGTCCAGACTATATAACTGTGGTGAGGGGTGGATTTCATAGAGGCCCAGACTATATAACTGTGGTGAGGGGTGGATTTCATAGAGGTCCAGACTATATAACTGTGGTGAGGGGTGGATTTCATAGAGGTCCAGACTATATAACTGTGGTGAGGGGTGGATTTCATAGAGGTCCAGACTATATAACTGTGGTGAGGGGTGGATTTCATAGAGGTCCAGACTATATAACTGTGGTGAGGGGTGGATTTCATAGAGGTCCAGACTATATAACTGTGGTGAGGGGTGGATTTCATAGAGGTCCAGACTATATAACTGTGGTGAGGGGTGGATTTCATAGAGGCCCAGACTATATAACTGTGGTGAGGGGTGGATTTCATAGAGGTCCAGACTATATAACTGTGGTGAGGGGTGGATTTCATAGAGGTCCAGACTATATAACAGTGGTGTGGGGGTGGATCTTATAGAGGTCCAGACTATATAACTGTGGTGAGGGGTGGATTTCATAGAGGTCCAGACTATATAACTGTGGTGAGGGGTGGATTTCATAGAGGTCCAGACTATATAACAGTGGTGTGGGGGTGTATCTTATAGAGATATAGGTAATCTGAGGTAGTGTTTCTTTCGGTCATCCCCACCAAGCACGTCTACCGCCACCCCCCCCCCCCCCCCCCCCCCCCCACTTTTAAAAAGTGTCTGAGAGAAAAAAGTCTGCAAGAACACAGCGGATAGTCCTCGTGGAAGCCCGGACTCTAGTTCATTAAACACTTTTAATTTGAGTTTTTTTTTACTTTTTAAAACGTTTCAGGAATTAAATACAAAATTCTACTCAATAAAATTCTTCCAAATACAAAAAAAACTGACCACAAAGCTCAATAAGTGTAAAATTTCGACCAAATTTTGAATATATGGCTGGCATCTTGCATGCTCGCGACGGTGTGTCTATTAGAAATAATGTCAAGGTTGTAGGCGGCAAGGATGAAACTTCAGGTATATGTATGAGGAATGATGAAACTTCAGGTATATGTATATGGAATGATGAAGAAGAAACTTCAGATAGATGTACGAAGAATTATGATGATGATGATTTTGAAATTTCTAATAGATGTATGAGGAATGATGATGAAACTTCTGATAAGGTATAAGTGATGATGATGTCAAGCGTTATAGCGGGCGTTATAAATGGTGGGAGGGGTGCAGGGGTGCCCGATGTATTAATTATGTATGCCAGGTGTTTGTCAGTCACGTGACGAGGGCATTTGATGATGTTCTGTGTTGTGTGTGTTGTGTGTGTGTTTTGTGTGTGTGTTGTATGTGTTGTGTGCTGTGTGTGTTGTGTGTGCTGTGTGTGTTGTGTGTGTTTTGTGTGTTGTATGTGTTGTGTGTACTATGTGTGTTGTGTGTGTTGTGTGTGCTGTATGTGTTGTGTGTTGTGTGTGTTGTGTGTGCTGTGTGTCTTTTGTGTGTTGTGTGTGTTGTATGTGTTGTGTGTGCTATGTGTGTTGTGTGTGCTGTGTGTGCTGTATGTGTTGTGTGTTGTGTGTTGTGTGTGTGTTGTGTGTAGTGTGTGCTGTGTGCTGTGTGTGCTGTGTGTGCTGTGTGTGCTGTGTGTGTTGTGTGTGCTGTGTGTGTGTTGTGTGCTGTGTGTGCTATGTGTGTTGTGTGTCTTTTGTGTGTTGTGTGTGTTGTGTGTTGTGTGTTGTGTGTAGTGTGTGCTGTGTGCTGTGTGTGCTGTGTGTGCTGTGTGTGCTGTGTGTGTTGTGTGTGCTGTGTGTGTGTTGTGTGCTGTGTGTGCTATGTGTGTTGTGTGTGCTGTGTGTGATGTATGTGTTGTGTGTTGTGTGTGTGTTGTGTGTAGTGTGTGCTGTGTGCTGTGTGTGTGTTGTGTGTGTTGTGTGTGCTGTGTGTGTTGTGTGTGTTGTGTGTGCTGTGTGCTGTGTGTGTTGTGTGTGTTGTATGTGTTGTGTGAGCTATGTGTGTTGTGTGTGTTGTGTGTTGTGTGTGCTGTATGTGTTGTGTGTTTTGTGTGTGTTGTGTGTGCTGTGTGTGTTGTGTGTGTTGTGTGTGCTATGTGTGCTGTGTGTGTTGTGTGTGTTGTATGTGTTGTGTGTTTTGTGTGTGCTGTGATAATTACAGATCATGCCTTGGTTTCATGTTGTGGTAATGTAGTGGAGGCGTATGTTATGTGTTTATGCTGCTGTGTTTAGTTCAGTGTGTACTATATTACAATAAAGGTTTAAGTTCTATGTTTAGTGCTGGATGATCTTAAGTCAGGGGTCGGCAACCTGCGGTTCGCGAGCCGCATGCGGCTCTTTGATATCAAGATGCGGCTCTCCAGCTCCTTGCACAAATACTAATAATCTTAATAAAAAAAAATATATTTTAAATTTAAAAAATGTTAGTGGCTCTTTAAAACCAGGGAAATTTTGAAAATTGTAACTTTTGGCTCTTTCGCTTCAAAGGGTTGCCGACCCCTGTCTTAAGTTCGTTGTATTTGTTTTATTGAAAATAATAATAATAAAAAAATAATAAAAATAACTTATTTGCTGCTACTTGTTATTGAACTACCTGGATATATTTCTGAACCTTGTACCCTCGACTGTTTGTGTGACGTTTACTGTATACCGTTTTAAAGAACTCGTTGCTTTTTTATCTTTCCGATTGTTTCAATTACACAAACCAATGTCATCAACACTGATCACATTACCTTTACATTTCTACATGTGTTCATATTGACCACATTGTATTGGACTTTTTATCGCCCCTCCTTGTATTTTATTATTTAGATGAAAAAGTCGCCTCCCTTGTCAAGCTAGCCTAGTGAGTATTAGCTCACGCCAAGAATGAGTAGGCCAACATTTCCCTTCAAATTATATTGTTTTTACTTCAAACACGTACAATGACAGGGTAAACAAACAGCCAAGAATTAATTCGACTTTTAAGTACCCTGGGCATATACAGATCCCTTATACTTTTGTTTATATTTGTTTATCATTAAAATGTTTTATTTTTATTTATTTTTGAGTGACTTGCTCGTCAATCGTCGGACGCCATACGGAAACTGTGGAGTGTCTGGTGCGTTGTTTACAAACGTGAATGTTCGCGGCAATTGGCAGCACTGTAAAGCTGATTTTAAGCACTGTAAAGTTGACGTAAAGCACCGCAAAGTCGGTGTAAAGCTGATGTAAAGCATTTTTTCTGAAAAGCCGATGTAAAGTGCCGTAAAGCCGATGGAAAGCTGATGGAAAGCACCATAAAAATTATGCAAAGCAACAAAAAGCGGACGTAAAGCACCGTTAAACAGAGATGTAAAGCAGTGTAAAGCTGGTGTAAAGATCGTCTGCGTGTGTCCCATACCAGCGGGGGATTGTAGTCATTATGTTAAAACTTTCCAACTGTTAATTCAATGTTTGGTGTGGGGTGGGGGCGGGGGGGGATATAGGCCTAATTCGTAAGATTTAACAACAAATGCAACATGATTTAGATTATAAGTGAGTTTTTTTATTTCTGTTTTATTGAAGAGGAATTGGCCGCGCGTCAATTTTTAGCAACAATAAAACATTTTATAAAGACAACATTTGACAAGAGCAGTAAGAATCGTCATCACATTATAATTCTTTTATCAGTATATATATATATATATATATATATATATATATATATATATATATATATATATATATATATATATATATATATATATATATATATATATATATATATATATATATATATATATACATAATCGAACTTCAATAAAATAGACATCATCGAGCTAAATTACTTGCACTTACTTTTCTGCTTTTGTCCAGATGTTTACCTCCCTTGCGATCGCCTCATTACTGCAGTGGATGTAGAAAACAGACACATATAGCACCGTTAGATTATCCCCCCTCGCGGCTTGGAGAAAAAAAAATTGGTTTGACGGAATCCACCGCGGGTGTTGCTCAAACTCTGAGTGTTTTTCTCTCCCCCCTCTCTCGTGAGCTCTCTCGCGCTGGCTACGGTAGTTGCACGCGCCTCTGCCACGCGCCAAAATTTGTGTAACTGCATGTGGTGGTGGTGGTGGGGGTAGGGGGGGGGGGTGTGAAGAAATCGTACGCCAGGTAGAGTGGATCTTGTCAGCTATTTTTACTTCAAGCGTGGAAAAATGGGTAAAGTGACACTGTAGGTTTCCTACATTGGTTTCAGCGGCAAGCGAAATTCGTTTTCAGTAACTTGGCTGTTTCTGGAGATCAAGGAATTGTATATATATATATATATATATATATATATATATATATATATATATATATATATATATATATATATATATATATATATATATATGTATATATATATATATAATATACATATATATATATATACGTATATATATATATACGTATATATATATATATACATATATATATATATATATATATATATATATATATATATATATATATATATATATATATATACATATATATATATATATATATATGTATATGTATATATATATATATATATATGTATATATATATATATATATATATATATATATATATATATATATATATATATATATATATATATATATATATATATATATATATATATATATATATATATATAGTGAATGAATGTTGCTAAAGGTTGGTCAACACCATCCCATGACCTTCCAAGAGTTGACGTGACACTGATGATCTTTCAGTCGTCGGTCATGTGACTTTGTTTCATTACTTATTTCTACAAAACACAGCAGTGGGCCTACGGTACTAGTACAAGATACCACACAATAGTGCTGTGCCTGGCTCCAGTGTGAGCGGTTGTTGGCTAACAGACCTGACGTGGGTGTTGGTCAATCAATACAACAGCGGAAGTGACGACCAGACGTATCCGCTGTGATCCCTCGCGACATTCGAGTAATTAACAACTTCATTAATTAGTCAGAAGGTGGGGCTCAGGCAGAGGTCGTGTGTAGTCTATGGGTTTATTGTGGCATGTCTGTATGTACATCATAGCGTGACAGTTGTTTACATCATAGCGTGACAGTTGTTTACATTAAAGCGTGACAGTTGTGTACATCATAGCGTGACAGTTGTTTACATCATAGCGTGACAGTTGTTTACATCATAGCGTGACAGTTGTTTACATCATAGCGTGACAGTTGTTTACATCATAGCGTGACTATTGTTTACATTATAGCGTGACAGTTGTTTAGATTATAGCGTGACAATTGTTTAGATTGTGGCATGTCTAATGTGTACATCATAGCGTGACAATTGTTTAGATTGTGGCATGTCTAATGTGTACATCATAGCGTGACAATTGTTTAGATTGTGGCATGTCTAATGTGTACATCATAGCTCGACAGTTGTTTACATCATAGCGTGACAGTTGTTTACATCATAGCTTGGCAGTTGTTTACATCATAGCGTGACAGTTGTTTACATGCTAGCATGTCACGTGTAGAGTATTCACGTACTTACATTGTAGTGTCACGTATGTCGGCCTACAATATAGCGTTTTTTGTTACTTTATGCGACCATATTGTTTTTCCCCCTTAAAAAATTACTAAGTAAATTAAAATGTGTGACGGGGATTTTCAACATGACGTCATAATGACGCGATGGCCAAAATCCAGCGAACAGCTGTCGTCCCACGTGATCTCTTCAGTACGGATGATCAGACAATCCCAGCAGACGGTAGGTAGGCGGCCATCTTGGCAGCAAATTGATTATTTTGTCAATGATTCGATCTCTCTCGACCCCTGCCATTAGCATAGTGTACCCGCTTCAAAATAAACGGATGCCAATCCTAGTTGGTGGAGGGGGGGGGGAAGAGTTCTGAAGGTGTGTGTGAGGGGGGGGAGTCTAAAGGTGTGTGTGTGGAGTGGATAGTTAATTTGGTAAAGGGATTGCGATAATTTAAACGGTGCACGTCCATTACATTATGGTTTAGTTAGTGCTTTTCTAATTCTAAACCTAATCTAACCACAACAGTTGAATAGTCCTTGTTGCAAGCGCGCAGATTATATGGTAATGCCAAATTGGGATTAATGTAGGCCTACATTTTTTTAAACAAGAAATAGGGGCCGCCCATTAAGTACTTTACACTTGTAAAGGTTGGGGGCAGGGAGGTGGATTGACGTTAGTGACAAAATGAGTGTGATATTGAACTGCTCGGATTAAACATTTTAAACACGTAACTAGTCATATGAACATTACAATTAGTGGTAATTAAAGCTTTGTAGCTAACATAAGAGGGGGGGGGGGGAGTGCTAAAAAACGTAGTTTGTATGGACGTTTTTTAAAAGTTCTCTAAAATAATGTACAAGCATTATATATTTAGTTGCTACCATTTGTTTGCAAACATAAAATTCAACAGTTTCTTAAAGGAAAGTAATTTTTTGCCACTTCCTTTTACCGTCCTAGAATTTATCTATTACATACAAGGGAGGTAAATTAATAACTAAAGGGGCTTAACCTATTCAAGAACAGACTTGTTAACAAATAAGATATTCATATTTTTTTATTTGAGTCAGGTGATCAATACATATTCTGGATTATAGTCACATGACCTACAGTAAATGAATAAAGTGCAGAATCAAATAGGACGAAATAAACGTGCATAGCTTATGTATTATAATCAATAAATCAATTCAAATATAAATTACAACAATTAGTATTAATTATACTTTATTGGTAAATCTTCTAATACAGTATATGGTAAAAGTATATTGATATATCAAATAATAAAATAGATTATTCCAAGAAATTATTTCAAACAGACAAACTTTAAAACAAGAAATTATAAGAGTACATTGATGTTCAAGTCACATATATTGGTCTTTTTATATGTTGTTTTTGTTAGATACAATTTACTACATAAATTCTCTGAAAGTATTTGAGGATGTTAGCCTAAAATATAAGATGAAGTTGATTTGATTGGCTTTTTTTGTTAATACTGGATATTAAAAAGAGCAGGGTACAATATGGTACTGCAAAGTCTCAGTTACCAGACATGGTTAGTATATATCACCAGTAGTAATAAAACCTCGGGACTACAACCACCGGCACCACTAGGGTACACAGCATCACACCACTGGGACTACAACCACTGGCACCACTAGGGTACACAGCATCACACCACTGGGACTACAACCACTGGCACCACTAGGGTACACAGCATCACACCACTGGGACTACAACCACTGGCACCACTAGGGTACACAGCACCACACCACTAGGGTACACAGCACATCACCACTGGGACTACAACCACCGGCACCACTAGGGTACACAGCATCACACCACTGGGACTACAACCACCGGCACCACTAGGGTACACAGCATCACACCACTGGGACTACAACCACCGGCACCACTAGGGTACACAGCATCACACCACTGGGACTACAACCACTGGCACCACTAGGGTACACAGCACCACACCACTAGGGTACACAGCACATCACCACTGGGACTACAACCACCGGCACCACTAGGGTACACAGCATCACACCACTGGGACTACAACCACTGGCACCACTAGGGTACACAGCACCACACCACTAGGGTACACAGCACATCACCACTGGGACTACAACCACCGGCACCACTAGGGTACACAGCATCACACCACTGGGACTACAACAACCGGCACCACTAGGGTACACAGCATCACACCACTGGGACTACAACAACCGGCACCACTAGGGTACACAGCATCACACCACTGGGACTACAACCACCGGCACCACTAGGGTACACAGCATCACACCACTGGGACTACAACCACCGGCACCACTAGGGTACACAGCATCACACCACTGGGACTACAACAACCGGCACCACTAGGGTACACAGCATCACACCACTGGGACTACAACCACCAGCACCACTAGGGTACACACCATCACACCACTAGGGTACACAGCACCACACCACTAGGGTACACAGCATCACACCACTGGGACTACAACAACCGGCACCACTAGGGTACACAGCATCACACCACTGGGACTACAACCACTGGCACCACTAGGGTACACAGCATCACACCACTAGGGTACACAGCACCACACCACTGGGACTACAACCACCGACACCACTAGGGTACACAGCATCACACCACTGGGACTACAACAACCGGCACCACTAGGGTACACAGCATCACACTACTGGGACTACAACCACTGGCACCACTAGGGTACACAGCATCACACCACTAGGGTACACAGCACCACACCACTGGGACTACAACCACCGACACCACTAGGGTACACAGCATCACACCACTGGGACTACAACCACCGGCACCACTAGGGTACACAGCATCACACCGCTGGGACTACAACCACCGGCACCACTAGGGTACACAGCATCACACCACGGGGACTACAACCACCAGCACCACTAGGGTACACAGCACCACACCACTAGGGTACACAGCACCACACCACTGGGACTACAACCACCGGCACCACTAGGGTACACAGCACCACACCACTAGGGTACACAGCACCACACCACTGGGACTACAACCACCGACACCACTAGGGTACACAGCATCACAACGCTGGGACTACAACCACCGGCACCACTAGGGTACACAGCACCACACCACTGGGACTACAACCACTGGCACCACTGGGACTACAACCACCAGCACCACTAGGGTACACACCATCACACCACTAGGGTACACAGCACCACACCACTAGGGTACACAGCATCACACCACTGGGACTACAACAACCGGCACCACTAGGGTACACAGCATCACACCACTGGGACTACAACCACCAGCACCACTAGGGTACACAGCACCACACCACTGGGACTACAACCACCGACACCACTAGGGTACACAGCATCACACCGCTGGGACTACAACCACCTGCACCACTAGGGTACACAGCATCACACCACTAGGGTACACAGCACCACACCACTAGGGTACACAGCATTACACCGCTGGGACTACAACAACCGGCACCACTAGGGTACACAGCATCACACCACTAGGGTACACAGCACCACACCACTGGGACTACAACCACCGGCACCACTAGGGTACACAGCATCACACCACTGGGACTACAACAACCGGCACCACTAGGGTACACAGCATCACACCAAGGGACTACAACCACTGGCACCACTAGGGTACACAGCACCACACCACTGGGACTACAACCACCGACACCACTAGGGTACACAGCATCACACCGCTGGGACTACAACCATCGGCACCACTAGGGTACACAGCATCACACCACTGGGACTACAACCACTGGCACCACTGGGACTACAACCACCAGCACCACTAGGGTACACACCATCACACCACTAGGGTACACAGCACCACACCACTAGGGTACACAGCATCACACCACTGGGACTACAACAACCGGCACCACTAGGGTACACAGCATCACAACGCTGGGACTACAACCACCGGCACCACTAGGGTACACAGCACCACACCACTGGGACTACAACCACCGACACCACTAGGGTACACAGCATCACACCACTGGGACTACAACCACTGGCACCACTGGGACTACAACCACCAGCACCACTAGGGTACACACCATCACACCACTAGGGTACACAGCACCACACCACTAGGGTACACAGCATCACACCACTGGGACTACAACAACCGGCACCACTAGGGTACACAGCATCACACCACTGGGACTACAACCACCAGCACCACTAGGGTACACAGCACCACACCACTGGGACTACAACCACTGACACCACTAGGGTACACAGCATCACACCGCTGGGACTACAACCATCGGCACCACTAGGGTACACAGCATCACACCACTGGGACTACAACCACCAGCACCACTAGGGTACACAGCATCACACCACTGGGACTACAACCACCAGCACCACTAGGGTACACACCATCACACCACTGGGACTACAACCACCGGCACCACTAGGGTACACAGCATCACACCACTGGGACTACAACAACCGGCACCACTAGGGTACACAGCATCACACCAAGGGACTACAACCACTGGCACCACACCACTGGGACTACAACCAGCAGCAATACTGGTCTACAAAACACCAGGTAAAAAATACTTCAGGTGTAAAAAAAAAATACTTGGATAAATAAAACTGATTATTTTCTTCTGTCTTTAGCAGAAAAATTAATCAACATATTTGTGCAACAAGTCTTGTTCTACATGCTTTTGACAGATTAAAGTAAAAGATGAATTAAATCTAACTAGCCCTGCCTAAACAAAGGCATAACCATTCAGAAAACCTAAGCTATTGATATATATTCCTATTAAATATAAGGTACAACCAAGATAAAACGGACAGTCTGAAATTTCCCAACTCTATTTCATCCCCCTCTTCTCCCCCAAACAAATTTAGATCTCCCACTGTTTGTTTATACAAGTTCGCCTCTGATCTAAATTTTTATTTTTAGATGCAGTCGCTCCACTAAATTGAATTAATTACTGTGGATGAAACATTTGTTGTTTTTTTTTTTTAAAAAGAACATGAAATTTCCAGCTTTCTTTTGGTGTATCAGCTCAAATAAACAAGCATGGCAAATTGAATTATCCCACATCAACTAGGCAGCAAAAAAGGGTTAATTTCTGGTAGTACAAGGGAGAGAAATCCATAACAAGATTATCAAAGGGAAGACAACTCTATTTACCTGAGGTGAATCAACCAAAACACAAGGGGAATAACCAATTCTTAAAACAATCTTAAGCAGACTCCCACTATAGAACTGAATATTTAGCCAAGTTATATTTCTGGATGTTTTCACTGAAAACCCTTATTTGGTGGCTCAGACTAAATGAGATTTTATAAATAATAATTATAATTTTACACTTTACTAGTTTAATCTGTATTCATTGAGTGTCTTTGTACTAATTATTTGATTAATAAAAAGACACTTTAATACTATTTGACTAAAAATAAGGACAGGAAGAAGTGTACATAACATATTATTTATCATAACAATATCACTCTCTACACTAAAGGTAATAGGAATACAGTAAACATAATCAGTACAAAGTTTTGATAAATTGAATATTGGTTACGTTTAACAACATAAATATGAAAACAAAAAAAATTCAATCACATATTTGATAGCAAGTAGCAAAATGACTGTAAAAAATGTCAGCCATTCCTAAGAACATTGTCTAAAAAAAACTAATTGTTGGAGGGGTTTAACTAGCAGTTTAAAATAGCACATACCCACAATGCATCATTGGTAACATATGACTAGCAAAAAACTGGCTATAGATTTTAAGAGGTAAGGTGATATACAGTTTTATCAGTAAAACTAACTCAGGCCTTGAATAAGTTCACACCCATGAAAGGTTAACAAAAACAAAAAATTAAACAACGCCTGATTTGCTAAAACATAGCTGAACATATATACATTTTTAAAATTAGAATTTAGAAACTAAATAATTTTTTTAAATGTATTAGTATTAATGACTGTAAAAGTAGTAGCCTTGTCTAAATATGTAAATATATTCATGAGCTGCACATTTGCAATAGATAATGCAATCCAAACCCTTGGATTAGTTTTTAAATTTAATGGAAGGAAATGCAAATCTGGCTGGCAGATTTATAAGGGAGGTAACTTAAAGTAAATGCTGGGTTACCTGAGCAGTACCAGTATAGGCATTAGGTAAAAATGGAATAACCTAGATCAATAGAGACTCATACCTGTGTTCACTAGTGAATATATTGCTGAAATATTATTTTACTGACTGGGTAGCTTTGCTGTTTGTGGATCTAATATTAATAAAACTGACTGACAGACATATGATTAATATTTAAAAAATAATTAAAAAAAAAAAACATTGTTTTAGCACACTCTTGGTTGTTAAATCTTTTTCATCAGTGTTTTTTAATTTTATGATTTGATTTATTGAAACAATGTAACAACACTTACCGGGGAATTTTCTCAAACACTCAGTGGTCAACATAACAACTGTCTAAAGCTTCTTGAATCAACAAATATCAACATTTGTGGGGTAAAATACCAGCTATGAAAATTCGCAAAAAATAAACAGAACTAATGACTAAGGGAAGTAACCTACAAAATCATGTGTTAGAACCCTTGATACAAATATTATTATAGTTGGAGATTAGTAAAGAAATGCATACATAAAATCGAGGCAGGCTACTTAATAAACCAGAATGTTCATCCCCCACAACAATAATTTTAACATTTACACATTTGATTTGCATCACTTAACCTAATTAAGTGTTTGTATGTCACTCCCATGGGTGAATAGCTTTGCTTGTATAAGTGGTTTGTAAAACGTACAAAAATATCAAATAAATACTCCTTTAGATAATAGAAAAATGTTTAAAACACAAACATATTAGCTGCAACTTTACAACACTGTTGTTTAGTCAATTAGCTGGGTTGACATCAGAAAGAAAGGGTGATAAACTTCTTATAAAGGAAAAATAAAAAAAACCTAAAAAAATAAGATGAGAATTTTAGAAGAATGAAAGTTGTAAAAACTGGAATGCGAAAGCAAAGAAGTAGACAAAGAAAACAAGAGTCTCGTTCAGATTATGATTAAGTATGTAAATAATACAGATGTAGATTACTTTATTGTGCTCCTATTGCTTGAATTACAGATCTTTAATGTGTAAGTAGGAAAACTAATATGGCACACAATCACACACTTACTGAGGTTTAAGGCAAATGACTGATGTTAGATTTAAACAAAAGATAAATGCTGGTATGGAACCACAACTTGAAAAGGAATTACAATATCTGTATATGTTGCCTGTATCTGATGCCTGGATCCATTTCCTCACGTATCACTGATTGTTTAGCTGGGCTGAACATTTCGGCAAATCAGAACTGGAACATCGGAATGGTGCAGGACATAGTCACTAACACTACCGATGAAAGTGCGTCGGACTTTCCCCATGCCTCGGGTACCCACCACAATCAGCCCCGCCTTTTCCTCTTTAGCTGCAGCTATGATGGCTTCACCACTTTTCCCAGCCATTTGTTTTACCTTACCACCAAGCTGTGAAACAGAATAGGGAATTTAGTCATTGGCCAGACTTTTGATCTTAAAATTACATAATTTAGAAAACTTAAGTTAAACAAGAGATGAGAGTAGGAATTACATTGGAATAACTAAAAAATGATAAACTAACCCTTTTCAGCCCTATTTGCCAAAGTAAAAAAAAAAAATTTTGCCATTTATTTACACATAGTAACAGAAGTCTCTTTGGTTACAAGAGGAAATACAAAAGGGAAATAATAAGTTTTATTTACACTTTTTCTTTTATATATATACCACAGCATTTACAAGTGTACTGATCATAACATTTTCCTCATCTAGTTACCAGAATAGATCCACTCACTTTACACTTATTCTTCAAAATTTCACAGAACTTACATGTAATTTTTTCATCTTCTCACTGTATTTATCCACAAGGTGCTTCACTTTGAGTTCTTCCTCTTTGATAAGTTCTGTTACAACCACTGGGTCAGTCAGGAGAGCAGCTAAAAAGACAACAGAATTTTCTTAACAAACTTAAACTTCACATCACATCAGTTAGACAAAGAACTGAATTTCTTAGTTTCAGTGATGATTATTTGAAAATGAGAACATTATTTTATAATTCATTAACTTCATTTAATTTTTAATATAACAATTACTAAAAATATGATATGAATTGACATAATAAAAAAAGACTAAGGCAGAACAACTGACTGCAGGGGTTTATAAATATTTACTTACGTGCTTGTACTAGAGAGGTGTATTCTGATACATGAACCAAAACAATCTTATCCCCCTTCAACATAGCATGCTCTGTGTAAACTATAACATATGAAGAGAAATGAATTATTATACACATTAACAAACATTTGTTGATTAGACGTACCCTAACACTTGCATATAGATATGTCCCTGAATTGCAAGTAATGCATTCATTTTTTTTTTTTTTTTCAAATCAAGAGAAACTATACCTTAATGTACGATAATACAGTGTGAGGTAGAGAACCTATCTAATGAATAGGCCTATAGGTAAAAATGACAAAACAATTGTGACACAGATGATGCCCAAAGGAAATGCCTCTCCCTTGGGAGAGATGGGGCCTGTTACATGGGCAGCATCTGACCTTTTTCAACTTTCTGTCCAGGCCTTTTTCCTTGGCAATGTTATAATCAAATCATCTATCCTTATCAGACTATGGAGCCATTCTTTTAAAGTTCTCTGGATTTGCAACTTTTATATTATAACATTGATTCTAAAAATATTAGACCTAGATTCTAAATTCGACAAATTGTTGAATTATTTTCAGGTTTAAGTTGTTTTTTCTTATATTTTTTTTACAGCCGATTTGATTACTAAATCTTTAAAAAGCACGATTTTTAACCATGTCAACAATACAAATTGTTCTTATTAATATGTCAAAATCAGAAATGAGAAAATGATTTTTTGATAGATCTAGATAGATTCTAGATCTAGATCTAGATCTATTAAAAATTTAAAATGATATGCTCAGATTGAATTCAGATGCTCGCCGAAGTCTCGGTGAGGACGTTGATTTAATTATAATTATAAATTAAGTTTACTTACAGTCAAATGCTTTTTCGGCATATTCACTATTATCCACACCGATTACTACAGTTCTAGACATTATTAGAATATAAAGGCCTAATTTAATACTTGTAATAATACTGCTATGCTTAATAATTTAAAATTTATTTATTGTGAAAGTCTAAAGTTAACTGAAGAAAGCGGAAATTAGGCCTAGGGTCAAACAACAATTCTGAACCTTGACCTTTGACATTGATGATGCCAATTAGGATTTTAATATTTATTTCTAATAAATTGATCGCAAAAATAAAATTAAATTAAAACCGTGTTTTTTAGTAGTCTGGAGGTTTATTATATAAAAGGTAAAAGATACTTATTTCGTATCGTTTATGGTATGCTGCAACAGCATTCTCAGAGGCATCGCGAGGTGGGGGGGGGGGGGGGGGGGGATGTGCGGACCGTACACAAGACAAACATTTAAAAGATATATAGAAGAAACTTGCTTTTTGCCAATTGAAAGAATGATTAATCAGAGTGAAAAAAAAAAGTCTTTGACACCACATCTACTAATTTACTATTTAAAAACTTTAAGTTACTTTTTTCCACATGAAATATAGTTTGGAGTAAAATAATGTGTGCACAAATTCACTCAATTTTGCAAAATGGTAGGGGGTGACATGACACCAATTACAACTATATATAGGCCTATGTATATATATATATATATATATATATATATATATATATATATATATATATATATATATATATATCCTAAAGTTTTTTCCTTTGGTTTAAAGGGGGGTGCCACCATTAGGTACCGCACCGGGTGACACGCGACCTTGCGACGCCACTGAGCATTCAGCTTGTTTAATTTAACTACCATAGATGACTTTTGTTTAGAAAAATTGTATACTATAAAATAAAAGAATAACTTCAAGTTACTTGATTATTCCAGGTTTTAAAATAAAATAGATATCCAAACCGAGACTATTATATTAATGTTATTTTTGGTCCTTTTAGATCTGTATTAAATCTGGCACAATATAAAACTGAAACAGGGTTTTTTAAGAAACAGTCTATCGACTTTTCTGTATACCAACAAACAACGCAAACATTGAACTAGTTTTCTCGTTCTAAATGATGATTATTAATAAACATACACGAATCTGGACCTAGAATCTTTAATTATAGGGATGAAGCGCATCTGAGTAGTAGATATATAGACCGTAGAATAGATTTATTTATTGTTACTAAAAATGTTAATGAGTTAGAGTTAGGCTTACGAATAATCAGTAATCTGTACTAATCTGTTACTATTGAACTAGTATTGAACTGTTAGGCCTAGTCAGTGTTAACGACAGCTAACGTAGTTTTTAAAAAATTCATTCATTCAATCATTTTATAACGTCAGTCACCTCAACGATCACAAACTCAACTGTAACAAACGAACGTCAGACACTGACACAGACTCCCATTGTGTGGATCTGGGATTTCTATCGAGATCCAGATCAAGTAGTTTTGATTTGTTAACTCATGTCAATAAAATAATTATTAAAATGTTGGTCTGATATATTTGTGGGGAATCATGAAAAGCATGACTTTAATGATGTCTTATTATATAATTTATAAAATAAAGTATTGGCATTACCAATGTAGGACAATAAACTTCCAAAAATAGTTTTGTTAAGTTGGTAGTAGTAGTATTGTAATCTCAAGTTTAGTTTTATGGTTAGAAATTAGAGCTATGGTGGTAGGACTTGGGTTAGGGATAGGGTTAGTATTGACATTAGCAAGTCATATGTAGGCTATATTCAGCTAACTGCCAGTAATCTAACACTCCTTTTTAAAAAGTGTCTATTATTGTGCCAGTATCACACACTGGCATACATTATAATTTTTCATCATTACTGTCTTTAATTCCATTCTATTGATTTTTTCAGTTGTTTTTCATTTTTTATAAAATTATTTGCTAACGTTTTGTTAAAATCATGTACAAGTAGGATGTTTAGGCTTAACTTAGCACTATTGTGAATCATTACAACTTGACTATCATCCATCATTAGGTGCTACATATCTTGATTGACAAATTTTCAATGGCCGGGGTTGTGGTATGGGCATTTTCTAATGACCGAAAATTGTGGAGCCCATATGACCCAAAAGTTTCCCAGGAAATAGAAAATGCTTATATCAAAGGAAATCAGAAACTGAATCTGGGCACAATATCACAAGCTCTGGCTCGCTATGAGATTGATTTTGTTGCATTTACCCAAACACAGTTAAAATCAGGTACGCCTAAAGTTTTAAGCCATAAAAGATTTGATACCTATGTTCTTGTAAAGATTAAGGGTGGTAATTAAGGATTGTATCAAGGTTTATGTTTCTGTCTATATCAATGTAAGGATTATGGTCAGTTCTAGCAACGTGGTCAAGGTTTTGATAATTCAAGCGAGGGTAGTAACACTTATTTATTGTGCCCCTTACTGTTTTACTTTTGCAAGTGCTCATACTTATAAACTTTTTGTACTATTTCATATTTAAAAAAAAAAAAAATTTAAATTTGTTCATTTACAAGGAATTCAATAAATTAGCACTCCTTGAATAATTATTCTGTGTTACGACTCTCAGGTGTAAAGATTATTATTTTGCAATAATCCATACATATTGGCTTCTGCAGTGAACTGGGACAGATCACCTTTTACTTATTCTCCACTGATAAGTAATCAGTGCGTAGAATTGACTAGTATTATTTGCTGATCTGTTCCTACTTCACCTAAAGAATTATATTTCAAAAGTGAAGCTTGGTGTTTACATACTAGATACTAAATACTTTCATAAATGTTTTTTTGGCTGATATAAAAATTGTCATGAGTCACAGTATTATATTTTATACTAATGTATATTTTGCTGTTTGGAAAACTAATAATTCTGATATAAAACATTTACGGTTTATCTTCTGTAATGTTTGCTCAGAAAGATAATACTTGTGGACATTTTTTTCTCAGGAAAATGTCGAAAAATTGTAAGACGAATACACCCACTAGGATCTGCATTGTATCAAGGAGTTGTATGGGAGTTTGAAGGGGATAATCCATCACAATGGTTGACCTATGACCTGGATACAATTGAGTGCATTGAGGATCACCTTATTAAAAATTTACTAGTTTTGGACCTCTCCAGAACACAGGCACTACCCTACATTATTGATCTCAAACAAATGAACCAGGTACAGCTAACCAATCTATTCTACACAACTTAACTAATTTATTCAACACTGCTCTAAATGTCTTATAAAATGGTTTTACACGTAGGCTTCTTGCACAATACAAACTAAATTTTCTAGATATTTTTATATATTTTTTAACAACCAGGTGCTTAAAAATGTACATCCTTGAACTTAATAGTTAATATTAAACCTAACAGTCAAACTCAGCCAAACAATGAACACTACCATGAGCTTAACATGAAAATTAAAACTCTCATCAAATTAATAAATCTATGCATCACTAATCCTAAGTTTAACTTTAATCTACAAATACGCTTCATAGAATGAGCAGTGCATGGACATGCAAAGAGATTTCCCCCGAAATCTTGTTGTATTTGAATGCAGGTTTTTAAATTCTTTTCTGTTAAAATTTTTTTGTCAGAATAAGATACGTAACCAATTTATTCTGGGGTTTTGTAACATTTGTATTTCTTTCATGTGTTAATTTGTAAATAATTACTGTCTAAGCCCTAGCCCTGATTCTAATCTTGAGAAAACTAAATACTAACCTGAATGTAATACTTTTGTAAAAAAAAAAAAATTTTCCAGACCAGAAAAGATACAGGAAATATACGAAAAATTCGACGTCGGATAATAAATCAAGCATATCCATTAGATACTCTAAACCTCAGTGTAAATACTCAACAGACAGGTCTGAGTGCCTCTTACAACCAAACCCCATTGGTAACACATGCTCAAGGTAAGGCTTGCTACTGATGCTAGATCTGTATCTCCGTGTGCTCATCCAGCTTGACATGACTGATGTTACAAAATGTATCTGTACTGTCCAGGTTCACAGGCACAGGGCAAACAAAAAAGCAAAGGCAAATCAAGATACCATCCATACAGTGGCAGTGGTTTGTTGTTCTTTATTTTGTATGAGACTGGAGGGGGGAATACTGAGAACCAACTTTTTATAGTTAACCTACTCCACTGCTTAAACGCAGAAGTCTTTTTCAGAATACATTGCTGGGATACCATTAACATCAGTATAAATACCACACTGTGTTTACACTTGTGTCATATATACTATACATGTCTAAAAAAAAAACAACTTTGCAATAAATGAGTAGGCACCCCCATATATGTTCCGGCAAAGTTTTTTTTCGAGACATGTATAGTAGGCCTATACATGTTGCAGGTGTAAACATAGTGTTAGATAAAAGAGATCAACAATGTGAAAAAGTAAAAAAAATTTTGACCTGAAGTTGATAGATCACTTGTGTTTAATTCTTGTGGGTTTTTCGAGAGTGCTCATTCGCTATATACATGTTGATGTATAAATCTGTGATAAGTTATCAACATGTGCGTGGCTCCCTAATGTGACAAACACTTCAGGCTGACTATGATTGTATGTCCTGTTGTATACCTTCCAGCTCACACACTCAGCCAGCCACAGCAAGCTGCAGCCCACCATCAGACCGCAACCAGCTACTTGCATGTACGTTTTCATGGCCCTCATGGTTATAGTTATAGGCTTCTATCTCTATTTTATGACTATATTCACATAATACTTTAGCAACATTTAACTAGATTTACAGTATTTGTATTCATTTAGCCAACACTCATGATATTTGTTGGTCTGTCCACAGAAATACTCAATCAAAATATCCCCCCCCCCCCCCAACACCATACTCTTATCCCTTGACACCATCTTGCCTGCCTACCACACCCTTGTGCACATACCTAACATTCAACATCAAAACATTTTTTTAAATTGACTTCGTATTCACATCAGTACTTCATGTACATCTTTTGAAAATCATATACCAGAATTAATCTCATTCCCCACATTTTGCCTCCCCTGCCACGCCCCCTAACCCTACATACTTTAACTAAATATATACATATCTTTATTTAACCATGTTTTTTTATTCTCAGACACCAATGACAGTAACTGTAAATGGGGGTTTGCCCCATTCAGCAATGCACTGTTCTGTTAACCCACTTCAGGGATTCACACAGGTGTCAGCAGGTAAGCCTGATTTTGTTTACCATGGCTGTGTACACTTTAGGCTCTAGTCTCATAGTTATTAGCAGCACAACTTGGCTGTGTGCACTTTTAGCTATAATCACTATAGTCTTATAGTTATTAGCTGCACAACTTGGCTGTGTGCACTTTAAGCCATAGTCTCATAGTTGCACAACTTGGCTTTCAAAAGGGTTTCAGCATAGTCACAGTTGCCATAATTATGGATGCTCATCTATTCATTGCAAACATGTCTTTTTGTCCCTGATTTTGAATCTAGTATTCCTATTGATTCTTTTCTGTAATTTTATGAGGGTGGATCAAATTAATATTTGAAAAGCTTGGTTTAATTAAAAAATATGAATTTATTGTTTTGAATAGCTCAAGTTCATCACTTCACTACAAATCTTTCAAACCTGTCTGCACTCAACGGCTACTCACAGTTACAACCTTCCGCAAGCTACACACCTCCTACAGAAAGCTTACCCAGAAGCCACAAAATACAGATCGACAGCTCACTACGTTCTAAAGGTACATGTTTAAGTACTGGTTTAAAATTGATAAGTGTGCTTTCTTATAGTGGATGGAATTTTTTGTTGTCAATCAGCAGTCAAACACTCTTAAAGAAAATAGTAAAAAATTAAAATATTTACCCCATTCATACTGAAGAACATTTGGTGTCTAACAAACTTCTCACTGTAGTAAACAACAGAATGATAAAATATAATCACTGGTTTAGTTATGAATTAACGGTTTTATTTTGGCACTTAAAATATGGATAAATCACAGATTTGTGTTCTAGTATTGTTATCCTTACAATATACCTATAATTATAATATTAGCACAAAAATACAGTATTACCAATTTGAAATACAAATTAACTTTTAGATATATTTATTTTTTGATTATTTTTTTCACCACTCCATTAAATTTATACATGTTCTGCGCATTTTTGAATTGTGTCATTCTACTGTGTTGGCTTGTAACAAATGTGACCTACAATTGACTTACCCAGCCAAGTCAGGCCTAGAAGTTCTTGGCAAGTACATGCTCAAAGTGGACCGTGACCTGGACAAGCACGACTGCTCCATCTGTTGTGACCAGCTCAGTCAGCCCTCCAGCTATGGGGACGGTCACCCAGATGCTGGGGCTGCAGTCAAGTTGACTAAATGTGGACACCAGTTTCATAAACTTTGTTTACTGGAGATGTACAACTCCACTCACAAAGTGAGGGCAGTGTTTGTGCCTGTAGTTCTACTGTTGGTTGTAGTTAGTTAGTTTGTAGTGTGTTCTTTATCTTTTATTACTTTTAAAGTTCTGTAGAAATAATGTGATAACCTGTGCTTATAGGATGACAGTTTACAGTGCCCTAGTTGTAAAACTATATATGGTGAAAAGACTGGTATCTGTCCCCCTGGCTACATGCAGTGGAACATCCTCCAAGGACTCCCCCTGGCTGGCTACGAAGATTACGATACAATTTGTGTTTCTTACCACATATCCGCTGGGAAACAGGTGTACTTTTTAACTTAGATTCATAATGAAATTTTTTAATTTTAAAAAATTCTTCTAATGGGAAATCTGTTTTTTTTTTAGAAGTATACTGTATTGAGATAAAATCAGTAAGCAACAAAAATAAAAACCTAATGGTTTAGTGTTTTTATGCTGATAGAATTTGTTTTTAACTTTTTCCAGGGCCCTGAGCACCCTAACCCTGGCCAACCATACTCAGTAAGAGGTTTTCCGAGACAAGGATTTCTGCCAGACAATGACAAAGGCAGAAAGGTGTGTTTTTATCCATGCAAGCGTTAATTAATAATAGATGTAATTTATTAGTTCCTATTCCTTATGCAGTCTCTAAATGTCATATTCAGTGGAACCTTCTTTACCCCCGCACCACAGGTACTAAAGCTTCTAATAGAAGCTTTTAGACGTCGCCTTATGTTTACCATTGGTACATCTCACACTACTGGTGAAGCCAACACAGTGACATGGAATGAAATTCATCACAAAACTGAACCTCATGGCAACCAGCTGGGTCATGGCTACCCTGACCCCAAGTATCTAGACAATGTTTTATTAGAACTGGCAGCTCATGGGGTTACAGAAGAAACATCTACCAGCTAGGTCAAAGCCTTATGTGTGTTCAGTGTTCTTTAAATAGCAGCAAACGTTTCAGTCGTACAGCAGTTGAGGGACAATTCTGAATGTAATAATGTGAATTGGTGTCTGGTGAATGCCATTTTATTCACTTTGATATGTTATAATTTTTTCTTAAAGAATTGCAGTAGCATTCTTATGCCCATTGGATGTGAATAAAAACTCCTAAAATGGAAGGTTATAGTGCCATCAGAGTACAAGATCTGTTCTGTAAATTAGTGATTTTTAATACTATTTATTATACTCTCACTTTTTAACTGATGTCTGGGTTATTATAATAAATATGCAAAAGTGTTTTTGTCTTGAATGTTTTATGTGCAAGGAAATAAATGTACCAAGTAAAGAAGAAAGAAGCCAATTTACAGACTGACTTTAGTTTATTGGTGCAGCAATGAAAAACGTATAAAAACAATGTATATACACATACATCATCAGTAAAAATCAAACCAGGAATAATCTCACAAAAACCTGCTAAAATCTTGCTGTTCACACAGCTGGACTAATTTCACCATTAGGAAGTAAGACATTCCTAGAGTAACTACCATTAACAATCATTCTTTATATTACAAACACCTACATTCATACAGCAATTCAGAGATATTTATATATATACAGTTGGCCATTCTTGAGCTTAACCGTTCTTCATTCTTTGAGCAGTTACAATTATTATGTCCTTTCCTAATATATATATATTTGTCAATTATAAATGAATGCATTATTGCAGAAAGCCATAAGAGTTAAAATCTAAGTAGTGTATAAATTCCTCCTCTTCCTAAATAATTACCAATAGAAATAAAGTCCTTAGGGTTAATCTTAAACTGATTAGCATAAAGTCCTTAGGGTATTAATCTGATTACCAAAGTAAGTTCCTGTCAAGTTTAAATATCTCTACTACACTATTGCCATAGCCTTGTTTATTATAAATTGATCCACTTTCAGCAACTATGAGAATACTGCTAGTTGAGTTCCACCTTTCCACATAGCACCAGTATGAAGCATCACTTTGTGAATATTGTTAATTATGCTGGACTTGTATGACCTGCTCAAGTTACCTTCTAATTAAAAATTTTGGCACATGGTTAAAGTCATGATGACCATTGAACATAAATTCTAAGTATCATGCCATCTAACAACTATGTTAAAACATTCCTTTTGAAAGAAACTTATGAAAATGGGAGAGTTAAAGCAATAACTTACAGAAGAAATATTGTGATACAACTTGCCCCCTTTGGGTAGTTAGCACTTAAACCATTAGAGTATTCAGGTAAAACTGCTTGTGGTGTAATACTTCACATATTTCTCTAGATGACTGCTGCACACTGCGCTCTACTTTGTTCCACACCAGTCGCTCAGCTTCCCTCTGGAGCTGATAAAATGCAACCATTAAGCAATTTAGACGTTTTTATTGGACGGCATACTAAATAGTTTTAGAAAAGTAATAATCATACGTATATAACAATGTAAACATTGACTTAATTTAGTTACATCTGTGCCCCACTAACCCTGTGACTATCAATACCAAAAGTAACAGAACATTAGAGAACTACAGTTATGTGTGTCCTCACCTCCTCTTCTTCTGGTATATCAGCCAATCTTAAAGAGGCTATGTCTAATGATGAAAATACAGGATCCAATCCAGAAGCAATCTGATGGAGTTCTTTGGTAGTGGCTGACAGTTCTTTGATCAGGTTGTTGAAGTTCTCAAAAGTTTCAGGCTGAAATGAAACAAGCCCATCTAGTTTCAACTTCCTAGATCAACTGTGTACAAAGTTGCCTAATGATTTTAATTTTGGTATACATATTATGGTAAACTTAAGTTATGATACATTTGTATCTAGGGCCTATCTTGAGATAAAGTAATTTCACAATATCTAATTTTAAAAAAAGGTTTGAAAATGGTATTGAACAGGGAACATTCTTAAAGTCAAGTATATCTATAATATAGATATACAATGTTCATAAGTCCATAATCATTATAGGTTAAGGATATAAATATTTATTTAATAATCATGTTTTAATTAAGCAAGTGAGGTAAAATAACGTATATATATTTAACATTGCAATTGTTTTAACATTTGTAACTAACCAAAGGAGCTGTAGGTCCTTTGCCTTTCTTTGATTTCTTGGTCAAGCCAATCTTTAAGAATTTTAAGCCTCTATTGCACACACCAGCAAGTATTGTCAAATAAGAAATGGTCTGAAAAAGAAAAAATATTAAATTTACTTATTTATAGCTATTGAAACATTTTACTGTAGAAGAAGAGATATTTGATAAACACGGCTAAGCTATAAAAAAAAAAGTTGGATTATAACTGGCAAAGCTTAATTTTTTAGCTCTGCTTACCTCTACAGATGCCACAATTTGCTCTAAAGCTGAAGAGTCTAGCTGACGTTTGCCTTGATGGTCTTTCACTAGTCCACCAATATCTTTTACAACCAATTCTAAATTGATTAAGTAGATTTCATGATTTTAGAAAACTTGCTGGTATATGTGTTTATATCAGATAAAATCAATGGAATAAATACATCAAAAACTCACTTGAGGAAAATTCTTGCACTTTCGTCCAACATTTCTCATCATTGGGATTGGAGATTTCTAATTGAAAGCACAAGTAAATTTGAAAATGTATGTATATATATATATATATATATATATTCAAATTCATTAGAGTAAGTATAATAAAATAAAGCTACAACAGAACTTACCCAGGCCAGACGCTGTCAACTTGTGTATGTAATTTATACATTGCACCATACTTGATAAAGCACCTATATGAGGCTCTCGCAGAAACTCTGAAATTCGAGTCCTGAAAGGCCCCTGCACTGTGTGATACTATTGAAAAAAAAAGGGATAACTAAATTTGATTGCTAATACTTTGTAAACAGGATGATTTTCATTATTAACAAATATAATTGGAGGCTAATATGGGGACATCATGGTCATCAGTAGAGGAAACAACTGCAAATCTAGAAGTAGTGCAGTAGAGGCTGCCTAACTGAATATCTTACTCAAGTATTTTAGCTAAAAATCTGGAGAAAAAGCAGACTTACCTGCCTAGGTTCCAAGAAACTATCACTGCTTTTAGCAAGAATTTCAAGTTCTAACATTCGTTGATTTAATACTGTAATAGCTAACGTTCGTTCTTTTTTATTCTCTAAGCTTTCATCACTATTTGTTCCGCTACCATTCACAACTGAGGCACCAGTAATCTCTTTTCCAACCATCACAGACAGCAATAAAATATGGAGAAGTGTCCACCGCAATGACAGCCATAATTCCTGAATGTAAAAAATTTGCATTCACCAATTTGTTTTAGCAAAGGCTACCAGCTAAAGCTAATTAGTATTTTTAACTTTTTAATACTTTTGGAAATTGTTTTAACATTACCTCTTCTTGTATTGAACGCACTTTATTTTCTTCAGAATTTAATCTGAAATTATTTAAAAAATAAATAAGGTCTAAAGTATATAGTTATGGCAATTAGTTGTTAGATCCCTTAACTAATTTTAGTATCTATTATTTAAAACTAGCTGTCCTAGGCCCCATTATTTTTCATTATGGTATTGTTTGATGTGTCAGAACTAAGTATAGTACATTTATTATTTACACATATTAGCAGAAGTTTCAAGTATATTGCATTGTGTTTTTTTTTAATGAGTGTGGGTATTTGAACATTTTTTGTGTAAAAAAAGTGTTTTGGTTGAAAAACATGTAATAAAATATTTTAAGCCCTGACTTTGAAGGGTAAATCACAACTGGCACTTAAAACAATTAAATAACACTATGAAAAAGTTTTTCCAAAAGCAAGTAGTATCCTTTTCATATTAGTTATAACATGTTAGATATGATGGTATCTAAATTTATAAATTAATTTTTAATTTACTATTCATGGTTTTGAGTATCAACACAGGAAAATTCACTATCACTAAGAAATAAAATTTAGAAAAACTTACAGACTTGGAGGATCCCAGCACAGAGCTATTGTTAAGTCCCTATTATCACGTAGCTTGGAAATGTTTATAGCTGTAACATTGAGTCACATATAATTTAGTTGCAGTGAATAAATAATACTCATCAATTAACCAAAATTATCAAAAAGAAAAACTCATATTTTTGTAATTCATTTTATTTCATAACAGTAAGAGCATCTTTCCTCAAGGATAACTCTATAATTACAAGGTATATTACATCTTAATGCAGTATTGCTTTTTGGCTGTAAGCGCTGGAAGATGGCCAGACAAAATGTCAAATAAAGATCTGTGTCTAAACACACAAAAGACAGCCGACATTAAAGCCAGCAAATAAGGATGGATTGGGCAGTGAGAAGGGTAGATGATAACATTGCGAGGAAAGTGTAGACTGGAATCCCTAGGGGAAGGAGAAAATAGGCAGGCCAAAGAAATCCAAAAGAAGTACAGTAGAAGAAGGGGCAAGAGCTGCCTGGCTTACATGGTCGCAAATGAAGGGTGGCCCAAAATTAATTCTAGTGGAGACTTGTGGCTACAGCGCTTTGCTTCTTCGGGGCCATAGAGAAATAAGAAAAATATATAAGTTCTAGCTATAGGAACTTACGTGAATCAGTTAATGGATGAACGTTCATACAGTCTACTGCCAACTCTGTGGAGTCATGGCGATCCGTTTGCATAATTAATTCAAGTAGCATTTTCTCTGTATTGGCACTGTGATATTGCAGAGCGTTGTCTAATCTTTCTTGGAACTCTACAAATTCTTGTATCTACATTCAAAAGTCACATTGAACAGAAGATAATTACAACTACTGAATTTTAGATTTAAGTATTAATAGAGATTAGGTGAGACAAAACTTAAATACACATGTATCTTTAAATCAGGGATCTCCAAACTTTTAAGTCCGAGGGCGGCATTAACTATCAAATTTCAGTTCGGGGGCCAGTTTCTTCCAGGCATGTCTTTGGTTTTTTCTGGGCAAGTTCCTCAGCCATCATCAACAAACATATTTTCTGTAGACAAAGTGATATCTGCGGGCCGGATGAAAGGACCTCGCGGGCCGCAGTTTGGAGACCCCTGCTTTAAATAAAACATTTTTTAAAAAAACTTAATAAAATGTAACTTACCCTTCCAAATGATCCAAATTTGTATGAAGACATCAAATGTTCTGATGCCTGTAATGACAAAAGAAGCACAATGATTATTGAAATAAGAAAATGACCAATAACAAAACTTTACTGCTAACTGTGCAAATAATTCACCTCTTTTTGGTTGACAACGAAGAATCTGACCATAGTGGCGTACATTGTTCCTGCCTCCATGAAATGCCCTAGTCTTATCACATGATTTGAGACAATATGCCTGAAATACAATAAACTCACATTTTATATGGTGAAAAGTTATACAAAGAAAATTTCAGCTTAAAAAAAACTATGTATCAGTGAAGAAAATTTGTTGTTACAAACCCCATAGTGTCATTCATAATATGCTTGATCTCCATCCCATCATACAAAGCTGGGCAAGGACCAAACACACCTATTAAGAAGGATGGATATAATGTAAACCAAATAATATTTTACCACAAAGTATAGCTATGAAGGAAGGAAGTACAAAAAGAAAACCTACCTTTAATACAGTAGAGCCTAATAAGAAGAAGTTTCATCTGATAGTTGGATGTGCTCTTTTTGATGCCCAGCTCAAGATGAACTATTGCCCTCCAAAGATGAATATCATCTCCTTAAAAAGTATAGAGATCAGTTTAAGCGATGTATTTCTATAAGATTAAACTCTATTCTGTTAGGAAGATGCAAACTCAAGAGCTCAATGGAATGTTTATTTTGTAGTTAAAATACTAAGCCATTTCAATAGTTTTTTCTCCTTTTTCTAAAATTAAATACTGCACTTATGCACTTTTATTTCCGTACTATTTATGAAACCTCAATAGTAATAAGATACATTTTTATTTACGTTTCTTTCATTCTTATCTATCAGTAGGTGTATTATTCTACGACTTTCACCTCCCCTCCTCACAAAAAGCTAGACTCCACTCTAAAATGATGTCACACCTCAACCAACAACAGCTTCCCTTCACCCCCCCCCCCCCCCCAAATTGCATTTGAATTTATTTATTTTAACATCGAATTTTTTTTCTAAAATACTGACTAAGCCAACATAGGGTATTTTAATCAATTTCTATTATAATTTATTACAATAGTTTTCTAAAACGCAAAATTATGGATAAAATTTAGTTTCTAACATTACTTTTTTAAAATGCAAAAGTATGACATAACACTATCTGAACCCCCTTCCCCTCATCACACGTCACAGATCTATATATTTATATCAAGCAAGAAGTTTGATGTAAAATGAGAATACAAATCTAAGTAATAGCCAACCTGTTTTAGTCCAAACATCCAAAAGCAAATGAACTGCCAACAATAAATAATTATCACTGTATTGCAGATCTGTTGACAGTAAGCTCTCACCTGGAAATAAAAACCTACATTTAGCTATAAGTAAATAAAAAAAAAGGTATAAGTTATCTAATACTGAAAAAAATAATTAGAAAACTGACCGAACTTTAACCCATCTCTATAGCGTATCAACAGCTCTTGCGACAGGGAAAGTGCTTCTTCTGTTTCAAGTTTTATGTGTCTGCCCATATACCTAGTCAGTTGGATGTATACTAGATGCTTTGTTAACTGATTAATCTGTACAATAATAAAAACATTAGTTAGTTACATAAATACATAACATAAAAACTTTAAACATAGTAAGTAAAAACTTTGCTTTTGGTCATTAAATATCAAATGAACGTCTATCCATAACAGAGCAAAATTTCAAACACATTCAAACCTAATAATCTGATCCCTTAAAGCCATAAATACTTACATCAGCAGCAAGATTTAGTGTATCACCATCAGATGAATCTAAACCTGCGTTTGTTTTCATGTATTGTACAAACTGAAACAAATGTAGATTATAATTTGTAGGTTTAGTTAGATTTTACTCAAGTAATACTTAAGTTAAAGATGTTGAAATTAATTTAATTCCCTGTGTTTTAAAATAAAATTAACATTTTTCTATTGAATATGAATACTGAACAAAGTTTGTGTTCCCCAAAAACAAGAATCAAAACAAGGGCAAATAAGGTTTTACTGTAAAACTGATTTGCTATAAACATTCTAATAGGGGTAAAAAAAATAACCATGCAACCCTAGAAGTGTGAGGACACTGTTAACAAACCTGTTCTTCCTCCTCTGGATTTAAAAGATCAACATAGAGTTTCATATCAGTGTAGCAACAGGCCTTTTGTCCAAATCTTTTATAATACTCTTGCAACAAATTCAAGGCACTCCCTGTCAATAATACAGCATTTAATTAAACTTTTATAAACAAAACAATAATAAGCGCTCTGTATCTCTAATGTGTTGATGAGGTGTATAATTAAGTTCATATTGTAGTAATGATGTAGTACACTATTCTTTGTTATTTATTTAATGTCAAAAAATGAATCAGATAAACAAAAAATAGTAGCATCCAATGTATAAAACAAAAGATGATTTTACTATTAAATGTCTTCTGCATCCAAATAATTATTTAAAAATCAATAATTATCAGCATCAAATATATTTTAAGAACACAAGTATTAATATCCCACTGTATCCAAAATTTTAACAAAACTATTCAACACAAAAAGTAAATAAAATATTCTTACCAACAGTGGCTGCAAAGTCTGACTTTCTTTGAAGAAGCCTTTTCAAAAACTCAATCTCAGCTAGATAGGGACCACGTAACAGGACACCATCCTGCATTTCACTAATTTTTTCTTTGATATAAGCCAGCATAGATTCCAATGAACAGTCTGGTGTTACTGCACTGTATAGGTTAGTGTAAAAAATGTTGATGTTAACAAAACTTAACAGTACACATTTTTTTAAAACTGCCATTAATTATTTTGTATTGTTACCTCTTGTCTCCATCCTCCTGAGATGGTGTTGAACCATCAGCTAAATGAAAACCAGAATCCAAATACTTCAGCCAGAATAACCAGTCATCTGGCCTAAGGAAAGGTAATAGACATGCACTTTTAAAATATTTACTTAACTTCTTTGTTGATTAAATTACACCGAAAGTATAAACAGTAAGTACATACGTATGATTTAGAAGCTTTTTGTAGATGCTGTTGACTTTATCCCATATTCCTAATTTGGTACATACATTGGCTAGTCTTGTTTCTCGCAAATTTAGTTCATTTCCTAATTGCTCTGAAAATAGAAAGAATATGCTGTATTACGTAGTGCCCTTGGTAACTCACAAATCAAAAGGAGCCTAGAAAAAAAGACTATCCTGCACTAACAACAGTTTATTTAAAAATCATGGCGGAAAAAAAACGTGGAAAAGATTAATTCTAAACAAATTAACTTACCACCAAGCGGCCCTTCAAGAACTTTTAATGCCTCATCCCATTTCTCCTGCAATTCTAATATTATCAAATACAACAGGATTTCTGAAAAGTAAAGAATGAATTCATTATTTTGCCAAAACTAAAATTTCCTCTTTCATAACTGCAAACATGCCCTAAATATTTTAGATTACTATTAAAAATATTGTAAAAATTTGATATAATTTAGTTCCATACATCATATATATATATATATATAACTAAACGAAGAGATAAATATCCCAAAACCTGAACTAAGCAAACATACCCGCTTCTGCTTCTATTTTGTCCTCTTCTATATACTTTCTTGTCATTTTCTCAGCTAATGTCAGAAAGATTGGCTTTTTCTGTTCTTCATTTTTGTGTGCCTGAAGCCAGAAATGTTATTTGTAAAGTTTGTGAAAACTAAGATAACCAAGTGAAAGCAAATGAAAATAATTATGTTTGATTCATTTAGACAAGTTCTAACAAAATAATTTTAAAAGTATCAAATACCATAGACTTACAGAAACCATGTAGCATATTTTATTAGCAATTTAAAAAAAAAAAAACTAGACAGTTTACTATTTCAAAGTAATTATTTAGTAATATTACCTGCATAACTATGCTCATAACAGCCCAGAAGTAATAAGGATTTTTATTGGGCCTTAGTTTGTGTAGCAGCATGGCAGTTCTCTGCTGTTGTTGATAGTTGCCTAATCTGACATGAGCCATAAACAAACAGGATAAAATGTCTTCGTTATTAGGCTGATGTTTGCTGGCAGCTTCATACAGACTGGCAATTTTGTTATCTGGTGGCATCAGGAATTGGTTTTATTTTATTTTGTTAGCACACATACAATGTGATTTTAAATTTAACTAGTTTTGAAAGTTAAGCTTTAAAAAAGATTAAAAACAAAAATTTAGTTGTTAAAGATAAAGTCAAAAAGTTTTGAGTAAGAATGTAGTTCACTAACATTGCTGAGCTTCTTTATAACAGATAGACATGGCATTCAGAGTCTGCTCTTCAGTGGGTTCAGACTCATGGATGGCAGCTAGGATTGCAGTACCTTCAGCCTGGCGTCCCATCCTCAACAATGCCAGAGCTTTTAATACCTAACAGAAAAGAACAATTTAAATCACAGGATAAAAGTGGAGTTAACCACCTGCTTATAAATGAAAAAGACAATATGCCCTGAAGAATAAAGTTTTAACAATCTTTGAAACATACCTTGGCACATGTTAGGTCTTTCTGCTTTTTTAAAACTTTATCTGCCTCTTGTATGGCTTTTTTATTATTGCCATTATCAAGACAGTCTGTGGAAAAATAAACACATATAAATATAATAGGCCTATTTAATATACTAAAAGCTGTGACAGCAAAAGAAAATGTAATTGTCTATAGCAAAAAAATTTAATTGTCTATTGCAAAAGCTGTGCATCAAGGATGTAGGCTACAATCCAGAAGAGGTCAATGACAACTGTGAATAAAGTCCATCAATACAAAAAGGCAGTAAACAATAAAGATATACTGAATGCATCACAAGATGTTTAATTATGCACAAAATGTCTGTATTTCAACCATACTAACATTAAACTGATCTCAGGGTATGTTTAAATGCAAAGGGAGGACCATTTTTAAGATGAGACAGTGAGATAGAGTAGTTGGAGCAATTATTTGGCTATAAATTATGATGATTAGGCAATTAGGCCTATTAAATTTAATTTAACAGCACTTTAACAATAATATGAAGCTGAATTTTACAGCCAATAATTCAGGCCTGAGAAGACATGATTAGGTTTGAAATATACCCCATTCAATATTTTAACTACCCCTACCAGTGAATATTTTAGAAAAGTATAGCATGGCAAGTTATGTAGATTTACTTTAAATTTGAAAAGTAATATTAGGCCTAATTACATACCACCTTAATGTCAGCAATTGTAGATTTAGATCTCTAGAATTGTATATCTAGATTAGATAGATCTAGCACTGACATATTTTATATATAGGCCTACTTTATGATAAATAGGGCTTTTGTTGCAAAACTAAACATGCAGAAATCTAAGAATCTAGTAGCCAAATCTAGCTAAGATTATTAAATTAACTTAGAATGACTTAGAGCTAGTATTAAGTAGGCCTATTTTTTTTTTTAAATGTAGAAATCTATATTTAGAGTATGGCTTTTAGTAGATCTCTCAAATATAGTTCTAAAACCTAGGTTTTCATCAACCTAGCTATAACGGTATTCAAGTTATCGTGTTTACAGACACACATACATACATACACACAGACATACGGAAAAAAGATTGCAAAATAATGTCTTTCCAACTCAGGGAGGTGTTAAACATTGAGATTGAGATTTGCAAAAATTGTGATTTTTTTTTTATTTTTGCACGATTACAATACTTTCTCTATACTCTTTATATACGAGAAAGTAAAAATGAATGCTGAAATTTTTAAATGTAAGAAAAAATTGTTTTTAGATATTTTAACTTATATATGGAAAAAAAACGCACAGAATTATGATATCTCTGCGTTGTGAAAAATGCAGAATTTATTCAGAAATAAAAAAAATTGTAAGTTTTTACTTTAGGGCATGTATTCTGATATCAGTTTGGTGAACTCCATTTAAATTTGTAAAAGATATGTTTTATTTTGTCATAGATATAGGGCCTAACTGTTTTATTTTCATGTTTTTCTGTCTTCACGAATTGATCTTCGCTCTATGCACACACTTGTTGTAGAACTTTTCTTATCATTAAAACAAGAGAACTTGTAGTACACTGCAAATAGCAAATTTTTAAATATAAGTTTACTTTTAAGTTTAAACCATTTGTTATAAAATAGAACTTAATGGATAATGTAATTATTTCAAAGTAAAAATTTTCCGTCTAAAATCGGATTCAAACCTTCACCCACTGAACCAGCCTTTGCACAAGTATGTTTCTTCGCAATAGTGTCGAGGGCTAATTCTAAAAATAATCGAGTCCCTACTAATCTAATGTTTATTCTTAGATAAAATTAGGCACGATTGTTGGAACGAATGAGAAATAATGAATTAATGTTTCTTTAAAGCCATTACCAAAAGAAAGTAGAACTTTATAACATTGAATCAAGTGACGGCTGTTGTGGAAACTGGAGCCATTTTACTCTTTGTTTTAGGGTGACCCACTTGTATTATATAGGCCTATTTAAAATTCAACAATTTGGTAAGAAGCTAAATAGCTGACTATGCATGTGATATTGCTAACACTTTTTAGATGGGGTACGAATACGTCGAAGAATTTATATTTTTTTCAGAACAGAGTGTCTTTTTAAAAAAATGTAAAATCAAAGTTTACTAAGACTTACATAGTATAATACATAGCCTATTATAATTATTTGTGGATATCAATTTCATTTTATAGATCTAATCACTCACAAACGTCAGTTTTTAAAATTAAAATTGAATTTTCTTCTAGATCAAGCGTAATTTTAAGTCAGTAAAATGAGGTCACCACTCCCAGATTCTTAGATTTTACTTATGTTTGTTGTTTGGTCTATTATAAGTAGATCTAGCATTAAAACGATTGCATCATTAAAATTGGTTTATGGGCCAGTTCTAATCATACAACGGACAGTCGTAACTTTTAATTATTAATGTTTAGGCCTAAAGTACTAAAAAACAATTATTACAATTAGGCCTATAATCTATAGATTAGATTCTAGATTTATCTAGTTCTAGTCTAGATTCTATAACTTGAGTCTACATCAATAATCTATAGGGCCTATATATAGGCCTAATTCTCTTCTGGGAGCCGCTAGAAAACAAGCTGCAAACGCGCTCCCTATCGTCCCCACCCCTACATGGTCTGGTGAGCTGTGGTTCACTCTTTATGTTTACAAACATTACAAACACAGCCGGGTTTAGTGACGACTATTAGGTGCAGATAATTTAGTTTGAAACGATTTTAAACGTAGGGGGGGGGGTAACTAAGTGGAGTTTACTTTAACGGAGGGGTGGGGGTGAAGCCGAAGGTGAAGGAGGGGGGGGGGTTATCGTCCTTACCGAGCTACTTATAGTGTTTTAAAGAAATATTTTCAGTGGCAGCGTTGGTAGTGTCGAACTCACAAATTATGAATAACTGAAAAGTAGAAAAAACAACAACTAAATAGCGGCGTATGATATGCCGCGGGTCGGCTCGTAAATATTAAAAAAGAATCGTGATTTAGTGGATTAGCACAGCATCTCACAAGTTTAATGATGAAGTAGACTGACTAACAATTTCATTTTCAATCAAATTATCGATCTCTAATCTCTCTGCCTAATCTAATGATAATCTAGTAGACTAGAATAGATCTGGAGTTAAATAAGTCAAATTTGCTTGGTTATAATTTGGACTAAACTCTTGACTCAGTAAAACATCGCCGGCGGCGATTAGATTCTAAAAATCGTACTTTGTAGTCAGCGAAATGACACTTGCGAGCAGGGGGGGAGAGGAGAGCACCATAATTTCAGTTGTTTACATTGAAGTAACACAATTATAAATGATTTTATCACGGTCATATGAAGTTAAACCTCTTGCTATTTTAATTTATATATAAACTGTTAAAAGAAAATAGTTTTCCAACCGTAAATAGGCCGTAAACGCCTTTCATTTACATCCACATGGCTGCGGGACGCCATTTTTGCAGATGGTAAATTGAAGTATCGCAATAAACGACAGAATACGATATTTTGTTTTTTTCTTAACTAGCCTAGTCTAGGCCTAGATTCTAGTCCAGATCTAGACTGTATAATAGATATCTAGATCTAGAATCTATATGTACTTCCTTTCCCTCCCTATCATGAGTATCAAACTCACAGCCAGTTCACAGTAACTTCATACATTAACAGTTACTTGTAAACAATGTTATAATAATATTTTGGCTTGTTTTAAGTATAAAGTCGCATATTTTAGCCCATACTAATAAAACAAATAGACCTGCCTAAAGCATTAAACGAATTTGTGCTTTGGTGACTGCTGCAGCTTTAGTGTTACAATTCATTATGGTAGGCCCCATCTAGATCTAGGTTAACATTTTATTATATACTACAAATATTAGTCGTGGTATTCATTTAAAACAATGTAAAACAACTTGATAATATTGTGTTTAATAGAGACTTTCATTCATTCCGAAATAACAGGTAGTTTTATTCAGTAGCGTAGGGGGGGGGGGGGGGGGGGAGTGGGGGGGGTCTGTAAAAAATTGTCATAATGCCACTGTTACTTATTTAAATCTATTTCTGAATCAGTATCAGTATATATGTATAATTGTATATGTATGTTTAGAACAGTCACCTAAGTGGTGTCGTCCATAAATGACGTCACACTCGATCGTAGGGGGGAGGGGGGTCCGTAATTTTGTGACGGTGTGTGATTAGGGGGAGTGGGGGGGGGGTTCAGATGGTGCGACGTCACACTTTTGCATTATAAAACAGCCATGTTAGAAAACTAATTTTATACGTTATTTCGGGTTTTAGAAAACTGTTTTAATAAATTGATCAAAGGTATTGATTAAATTACTTTATATAGACAGAGTTCAGACAATATTTTGTAAAAATATCGATGTTTTAAGAAAAATTCAACTGCAATTTTGAGGGGGTTGTAGACTGAGGTGTGACTTCATTTTAGGGGTGGGGGTCTGGCTTTTTGTGACGATGTGTGACGGAGGGGAGGGGGGAGGTAAAAAAATTGTCCAAAAAAGCGTGACGTCTTTTATGGATGACCCCTAAAACGGACACTATGTTCACTCTTAGATGGTTATCCCAACCCCTTCCCCCTCACCTCACCACCAGAACTGGACAGGCTGTAATTGTGTAGAGCGAATTACTGTTACGCCTAGGTATGCACTGGGTATGCTAATAGATCTAAAGTGACCGGACAGTGGTGAATGAATTTAAACCTCCCCGCTCCCACCCAAGCACCCCAAACTGATGTGTTATTAAATACATTTGGGAAAACGCGTAATGATGTACCAAAGTACCATGCCGCCAGAATCATAGCTTTTGAAACAGGTAAAACTCGATGAATATTGTTTTTGCAATTATCAGTAAAGGGGTGTATGAGCAATACAGTGTTCTAACCCATTATGTTAAAAATGACCATTAAAGAACACAAAAAGGAGTAACTATTTAAAAATGTATTATCTGAACTGCAAGACTAATATTTTAGTTACATAGATTAAAAACAACTTTCATTATACTATAATATTTTAGCACTTATGATGACAAAAAAATTGAATTCTGATTGTAGACAACTTATTTCTGTAAAAACGAATAATATTAGGCCTAAGCTTATATAAAACATACTAACGTAATTATTTATCTGTTTTGACGTTTACAATTATACATTTCTATATTAAGAGAGTAATTATTTCCCCTAGTTCGCTTGTCTTAATTAAAATTACAGGAATTATTATGTAAACATTTTTTTACAAGGATTAAAAAACAGATTGTGTTGCGTTCATTGTTTTTGGTTGTATTGTGTGTATATTTTTGTTTTGTTTATAGTGATACTTTTTTTTGTCGGCCTACATTGGGTTTTATTTTTCCTTATTTCTTCAGAGTACTACTTTAAATTTCTTTTACATCATAGCGAAGTAATAACATATATATATATATATATATATATATATATATATATATATATATATATATATATATATATATATATATATATATATATATATATATATATATATATAGGTGATCTGTGTGACAAAATAATAATAATAAATAAACGAACTACAAAAGTATTATATTCTAGATCAACATTGTAGTTGTAGAATGCTACTAAATAAGCTAATATTATTTCTTTAGTAATCATTAATACCTTCTCATCTATACAGTGGCGTTGCTAGGTCGGTAACAAATGGTGTCACCCCTCCCCCACCAAGGGAAAAGTATATGATATATTATTTTATATATATATATATATATATATATATATATATATATATATATATATATATATATATATATATATATATATATATATATATATATATATATATATATATATATATTATAGCTTTATAACCCCTCCCCCACCAAGGGAAAAGTATATGATATATATATATATATATATATATATATATATATATATATATATATATATATATATATATATATATATATATATATATATATATGTGTGTGTGTGTGTGTGTGTGTGTGTGTGTGTGTGTGTGTGTTATAGCTTTACAGGTTTAACAATTAATAGTAAAGATGTTTATCTATAGTCGAGTATTAAAATGTCTGGATGCAGCACTATTTTCTCTTTAGTTAGTAGGCTTATGTCAAGGTGTCACCCCACCCTACTTTCTCCCTGCCCCTTTCGGGATCGTCAATGTATACCAAAAATACTTTTTAACTAATTAATCATTCATTGAACTGGCCAAAAAGAATATTTGTTCTACATATTTTGCATTTTTTTGTCTTAGTGTCAACCCCTAAATGGTGTCCCCCGGTGCGGTCCGCACCTCCCGCCCCGGCCTTGCAATTCCTCTGCATCTATAGATTAGATATAGAAAGAATTTTGACAATCTTGACTGAATGTTTTTTTTTTTCAGTTATTCTCAGCCCCTGAATTCTTGAATTTATAGCATGATTTAATTTTATACTCTATGAATCATATGAATGCAAGCATGGTGCTGAAAGGAAATCGGCTTCTAAAGGAATTAGGAATCAAAGGCTAGTAAGTGTGTCTCTGTTGTTTTATTTTCTATGTTCTTGTGTTTTATAGCCTGTGTTCGATATCTATTTTTTTTAATCATAACTGACTTATATTTTTCCTTTTTTAAGATCCCTGAAGTTAGGATGCTCCTCCAGACTACGTCTGAAAATAATGCCGGTGAGGACAGGTGGAAGTTACAGATTGTGCAATCAGACCTGACACTAACATATCATGTTTCGTCACAGTGGGGCAGACAGGAATTTGACATGGGAGGGGTTCAAATATTTTTCCATATGTATAAAATTATATATATATATATATATATATATATATATATATATATATATATATATATATATATATATATATATATATATATATATATATATATATATATATATATATAAATATATATACGACTTTATAAATATGGAAAAATATATGAACCCGTATATATATATATAGGGGTGTGAGTCCATGGAAGGGGTTATAACCCCCCTAACCCACCCACCCACCCCCCCCCCCTCTTGCCTACGCCACTGTTTTGTCCAAAGAGGTATGTCCAGTGTTACAGTATTGTTGGCTGATCAGTTTAGAGAACTCATAATGCTAATTTTTGTGTGATCTCTTACTTCTTTTTAGGTGGCATCTATCTTTTTCGCAAGTAAAGTCGCAAAGTGTTAGGGTTAGGGGTAGACCTAAAAAGAAACAGACTTTTTTACGTTGCGTAAAATAAAACCTTTGATACCTGTTGTTTTTTTTTGTAAAAAGCCTGATGATGTACAGTTGAATTTTTTTTATCATGTTGTGTAACTGGTGGTGAGTCGAAAATGATTTTAGTGTTATTAAAACATAATTTACAAATGAAGTTTGGTGTGAACTTTAGACAAGGGTTAGTTTAAAAGTAAGAGAAATTTTGTTTTCATGTTTTAATTGTAAAGCTTAGGATGATGGCATGTTGAAAAAGAAAAGGTGTGATGGTTGTTTAGATTGGTTTCATTATGAATGAGTGGGTTACAGATCAAAAATGAAATTTAAGACATGGTTTTGTAAGAGTTGTTGGAAGTAATACATTTCAGTGTAAGCTATGTTGTTTACTATGGATATTTGCTATGTAAGTTTTGTTGCACTTAGTTATTCATACATTTCAATATTGTTTGCTATCTAAGCTTTGTTGAAATTAGTTAATACGTTTGAATGTTTTTTTATTTATTAATATGGATATTTGCTTTGTAAATAAAAGCTAATTTTCTAAGTTTGTTCTTGTTAATTGTATATGAATAGTAGCAAACAAATCAAAGATTTATTTAAATGTAACGTAACGAAAATATTTCCTTCACGTTCTTTTGTTAAAGTATGCAAAAGAGTAAAAACTTTTCCGACATTCAAAATCTAAATCGTTATATAAATAAACCCTACTCCAAAACTTAAAAGACAATTCGATGCGAGTAAAATCACGGAATGTGGTTATTACCTTTATGGTTCCAAAATCTATAGCGATGACGGAAGGACGGAAGGAAGAACTGATACACTACCTGGCCGCTTATGTTATACTAGCTGCGGTTCCCAGAAAGATGCGCAACGGAAAAAAGCGCAACGTAAAAAAGCGCAAAAAAAAAGCTTTTTTTCTGTGTGCGCTTTTTTCTGTTTGCGCTTTTTTTGTTTGCGCTTTTTTCTGTTTGCGCTTTTTTCAGTGCGCATTTTTTTCTGTTTTTCTATTTAGGAGTGGCGTCTAAACTGTTATTGATTAAAAATAATAATTAGTAAATAGTACGTTCAGTTTATAAAATAAATAGAGGCAGTATTTAAAATATCCGTGTTTTACCTACCATATTGCACTTTATCAATCCTTCCAAAATATATTATTCTAACAATAATTTCCTTTTAGACTTCCGCAGAATTTGCATTGAATTTGTTTTAAAGCAAATATTTTAAGTGGCAGCATTGGTACTGTCGAATTCACAAATTATGAATTACTGAAAAGTAGAAAACAAGACAAATAAATAGCGGCGTATTATACGCCGCGGGTCGGCTCGTTTTTATTAATTACGAGCCGGCCCCCGGCAAAACATACGCCGCTATTTAGTTGTTTCTAATTTTCAATAATTCATAATTTGTGAATTCGACAGTACCAACGCTGACACTGAAAATATTTCTTTAAAACACTATAAGTAGCTCGTTAAGGACCATAACCCCCCCCCTTCCTTCCCCCCCCCCTCCCCCCCCCCCCCCCCCCCCACGTTTAAAATCGTTGGCTCTGCTTGTAAACATTTAGAGTGAACACAGCTCACTAAAACCATGTAGGGGTGGGGAGGTAGGGAGAGCGTTTGCAGCTTGTTTTCTAACGGCTCGAAGAAGAGAATTATATATATAGATTTTTTTTTCGACACCACTGTTATTAAAATGTATCCACTTTTTTCTAGGAATCTAAGCAAAAATTACTACAAGAACTGCTGATTTAATGTATAATCTACATTTTAAATGCATTTAAAATTTATTTTTTAAATTATCAAATGTAAGTATTTTGTGGACGTCCACATTGACCCGAACCCAGTGTTTTTTCTAGGCATCTCATCGGGGAAATTTCTTTGAAAATTTTGAAATTTTAGTCGGCTTTTTGTCCATGTCGGCCTTTTGTCCGGATCCCAAAAATATGTGCATATGTACAAGATGTTTTAAGAAAATGTTCTAGATCAGCTGACCGGCAAGGGACCTGAAGTTTCCCTTCCTGCTAGTATTTACGTATTGAAGATAAGCAAAATCGTATTCTACTGGGCACACTTTAGGTAAACAAGTCCCCTATGTTTCTCGACTGATCTTAAAACCCAAAGCGAATAGGCCTCCGGTATAAAAGAGGGGTGGCCTAAACTGAGCCTGACAACTCAAGCAAAGACTACACTTGTGAGCTAAGATCGATCTGTAGGTGGTCCACTCGACGGTCTACATTCAATAGGAATAACACAATCGGGTGATGTACAGGCGCTAAAGTGGACAGACCTTGTGACAAAAAAGCGCCTCGGACATGCCTGGCGCTTAGCAAGGCGCTAATAAATAAGCCAAGAAGTAGGATATAGATCTACTTGCCGTGAGTTATTAAAAATGTAATTATTAAGTATTAAGTATTAAATAGTTTTTTAATTTGTAGGTCTAGCAGCGGCGTAGCGACCCTTCCCAGCGCCCGGGGACAAACATTTCGATTTGCACCCCCCCCCCCCTCAAGATTTCGAAGAGCCCAAAGATAGTCCTTTACAGGAGAGTCTTGACCAAGTGTACGTCAAGGCAGGATCACCACTCAGTAACGGTACCAACAAGACATCACCTGACCGAATACCTGTAAACGGATATGATAAGACAGATCTGCAAGCTGAAAATAAAACAGAAACTCCAGATATGGAAGTTCTAACAGCTACAATTTATATATATATATATATATATATATATATATATATATATATATATATATATATAAATATATATATATATATATATATATATATATATATATAGTTCTCTTCATGGGGACCATAGAAAACATCAAGCTGTAAGCGCGCCTAGCAGCCCCCCTCTCTTCCCCTCTAGGCATATCCCTACCACCCCCACCCCCATCCCCACATCGTCTGATGAGCTGTGGTTCACGCTACATGTTTACAATCGTAGAGCCGGGTTTAGTGACGGCTATTAGGGGCAGATAATTTAGTTTGAAACGATTTTAAACTTAGGGGAGGTAACTAAGGGTGGGGGGGGGTGTAGGGTAAGGGTTGGGGAAAGGAGGGTGGGGGGGATTATCGTCCTTAACGACCTACTGATAGTGTTTTAAAGCAAATATTTTCAGTGGCAGCATTTGTACTTTCGAATTCACAAATTATGAATTACTGAAAAGTAGAAAATAAAACAACTAAATAGCGGCGTATGATACGCCGCCGTTCGGCTCGTTTTAGATAATCAACATTGAGCTTCTCGTCAAGAAAAAAGTCGATTTGTATACCAAAATGGAAAGTCAGTTTCGTTTTCAGAAAACACAGAGAAAAACAACAATAGTAATGGCGAATACGATTACATAATTCTGACTCAAGTGACTGTAATGCGTAAAGATGAAAGTGATGACGTTCGGGATAATGAAGAGCAAAACAAGAGCAGATTAAATCAGGCAGAGGTATATGAAGAAATATTTATTATATCTACAAAGATGTAGACATATCGAAAATTTGCCTGAGTGAGTTGAACGAAAACTTTACAATTATTGACTTTTGAGAAGAGTTAAGGAATACATATTCCGCATTAATATGATTATATTAACAATGTCTTAAAATAATTCTTTTACTAATAGAAATTAGTTTTTTTTTTAAATTTCAGTACTCACAATATAATAGAAAAACGTATTATTTAGAATTCATGACCTAGATTCTACTAGGTCAGTTGAAGAAGAGATTGTCTGTCTTAGTGAGTGGGCTACAAGTGAAGTACTAGGCAAAATGACATGAAAAATGATAGATCAGTGTGGCAACTACACTGTGATCTAGGATATTACATGTTTCTTTAAAAAATCTTAACAAATCCACCTTCGTATAAAAATAAATAAACCGGGAGTGATCTCCCCTAAACTTCTTATATAACACTACGGGGATGGCAACTGGGGATATAGACAATATTTTAAATCCATTTTTAGTTACTTAAACTTTTTAAAATAGAATAGAATCTTGTAGAAAAAAAGAATTACACACCAAGTGAACAGTGTTTCTTCCAGACTTTTTTCTCCGGGGGGCACTTGAAATTTTCGGGGGGGGGGGGGGCGGTAGACTTTCTTCGAGGGGGGGGGCGGACACTGTTAAAAGTATATATTTTCTATATAAATTATATAAATTTCATTTCGCTCGGGGGGAGGGGGGGCGGTAAAAAAATTTCGGGGGGGGGGGGGGGGGGGGCTTAGCCCCCCGAAGAGATGCCTGGAAGAAACTCTGCAAGTGTACGCCAAACAAAATGTGTTTAATAATGCGGAATATTATTAGAAATCGGAAATAGCGTAAGTTAATACTTTCGGTCAACGGAAATTACTCAAAATTTGAAATTTCGTTTATCTATATAAAATAGTACTCAAGTTCTAGGCTTTTGAAAAATTGAGCAGAAAAAGAGCCACTTTCGGTTATCGGGAATCGCTGAAAAGTTGAAACAGATCTACACCTTTGATATAATACTTATGGGAACAGGGCATTTCCCCCCTGTCAATTACCCCCCGGATATTTCCCCCCCGACATTACCCCCCAGAGTAATTACCCCCCCTGTCAATTACCCCCCGCCCAGTAGGACATTACCCCCCCCCCCGGGACAGGGTTAGGGCTAGGGCTAGGGTTAGGGTTAGGGTTAGGGTTAGCGCTAGGGTTAGGGCTAGGGTTAGGGTTAGGGTTAGGGCTAGGGCTAGGATTAGGGTTAGGGCTAGGGTTAGGGTTAGGGTTAGGGTTAAGGCTAGGGCTAGGGCTAGGGTTAGGGTTAGGGTTTGGGTTAGGTTTTAGGGCTAGGGTTTGGTTTTAGGGCTAGGGTTAGGGTTAGGGCTAGTGTTAGGATTAGGGTTAGGGCTAGGGCTAGGGTTAAGATTAGGGTTAGGGTTAGGGCTAGGGTTAGGGTTAGAGCTAGTTTTAGGGTTAGGGTTGTGTCTAGCTTTGGTTTTGGTTTTGTGTGAAGTTTTAGGCTAAGGTGGATGCTTAGGTTTTGGTCTTTTTCTTAAGGTTTGGATTAAAGTAGTATATAGGTATACAATTCTAGTTAGAGCTAGGATTGTAACTTGAGAAGGGGGGGGGGGGTAATTCCCCGGGGGGGTAATTGACAGGGGGGTAATTGACAGGGGGGTAATTGCTCCGGGGGGTAAATACGGGGGGGGGAATGTCCGGGGGGGGAAATATCCAGGGGGGTAATGTCCTGTAGCCAATACTTATATATGAAATTTTATCAACCTTGCTGTAGTGGTACTCAAGTTATCGTGTTCATAGACACACACACAAACACACATACAGCCACACACACAGACATACTGACAATATTGCAAAACTATGTTTTTCCGACTCAGGGAGATTAAAACGTCAAGATTTGCAAAAATCTCGATTTTTTTGCACGATTACAATACTTCCTTTATAGCCTACTTCGTAATATATATATATATATATATATATATATATATATATATATATATATATATATATATATATATATATATATATATATTATTGTTCTAAGGCGTGATCTTCTCAGTAATTTTATTTATTCTAGTAAATGTAATGCAAAAAACAGCTGTCAGTATCTGGTGGACAGATGGCGGTATAATTTGTATAACATTCTTTTAAATCTGTTATCGTGACCGGAATTCATGACCACAAACTTTTAAACTGCTCTCTTATCGCTAGCTTTCTCAAGTATAAAAGTCTCTTTGAAATGTTTAAGAAACTGACTCAGTCCTTAACTCGACTTGAGGTTAGTAACAACCGGTCCATGCATTTGTTGCTAAATATATTTGTGTGTTTAAAACACAAAGCTATGCTTAAAATAAAAATTATATCTTTTAAAATTTCAGCTATTGTTGCTGCGCTGGTATTCACCTTTGCCAAACGTAATGTTATTGCTGCAACTGTTTGAGTAGTTTTCATGTAGTTTTAACGCATGTATTTCCTTATGCTTTCAGTTCACTTGACTTCAAGCCTTCATCATGATTGCTCCTGCATTTGTAGTTGCGCTGCTTCTTAGCGCTGGTTCAGCCATGCCAACGGTAAGTCTTTGCGTCATCCAAAAATACTATTACTATTAGAAAATAAGAATAATGATGTACAATGAGGGCTATAGAATAAGCACTATGTTGAAATTTCTAGGTTCCCCTAGCGGCCGTTACAAACGCTGGCTCACAGGAGGATTTGGGGTTATCAGTAACAATAAATATCAAGGACACAGAAGAAGGCTTTACTGAGATTCTTGGTCAAGTTCTTCAATTCGCTCCACTCCTTACCACCCTTGTAGGAAAGAAAGATCTCCAAGAAGGCTGGACTGATATTCTTAGTCAAGTTGTTCAACTGGCTCCATTAGCCGTCACCCTGCTTGGCAAAAAAGAAACCGAAGAAGGCTTTACTGAGATTCTTGGTCAAGTTCTTCAATTCGCTCCACTCCTTACCACCCTTGTAGGAAAAAAAGATCTCCAAGAAGGCTGGACTGATATTCTTAGTCAAGTTGTTCAACTGGCTCCATTAGCCGTCACCCTGCTTGGCAAAAAAGAAACCGAAGAAGGCTTTACTGAGATTCTTGGTCAAGTTCTTCAATTCGCTCCACTCCTTACCACCCTTGTAGGAAAGAAAGATCTCCAAGAAGGCTGGACTGATATTCTTAGTCAAGTTGTTCAATATGCTCCATTAGCCCTTACCCTGCTTGGCAAAAAAGAAACCGAAGAAGGCTTTACTGAGATTCTTGGTCAAGTTCTTCAATTCGCTCCACTCCTTACCACCCTTGTAGGAAAAAAAGATCTCCAAGAAGGCTGGACTGATATTCTTAGTCAAGTTGTTCAATATGCCCCATTGGCCCTTACCCTGCTTGGCAAAAAAGAAACCGAAGAAGGCTTTACTGAGATTCTTGGTCAAGTTCTTCAATTCGCTCCACTCCTTACCACCCTTGTAGGAAAGAAAGATCTCCAAGAAGGCTGGACTGATATTCTTAGTCAAGTTGTTCAATATGCTCCATTGGCCCTTACCCTGCTTGGCAAAAAAGAAACCGAAGAAGGCTTTACTGAGATTCTTGGTCAAGTTCTTCAATTCGCTCCACTCCTTACCACCCTTGTAGGAAAGAAAGATCTCCAAGAAGGCTGGACTGATATTCTTAGTCAAGTTGTTCAATATGCTCCATTGGCCCTTACCCTGCTTGGCAAAAAAGAAACCGAAGAAGGCTTTACTGAGATTCTTGGTCAAGTTCTTCAATTCGCTCCACTCCTTACCACCCTTGTAGGAAAGAAAGATCTCCAAGAAGGCTGGACTGATATTCTTAGTCAAGTTGTTCAACTGGCTCCATTAGCCGTCACCCTGCTTGGCAAAAAAGAAACCGAAGAAGGCTTTACTGAGATTCTTGGTCAAGTTCTTCAATTCGCTCCACTCCTTACCACCCTTGTAGGAAAGAAAGATCTCCAAGAAGGCTGGACTGATATTCTTAGTCAAGTTGTTCAATATGCTCCATTGGCCCTTACCCTGCTTGGCAAAAAAGAAACCGAAGAAGGCTTTACTGAGATTCTTGGTCAAGTTCTTCAATTCGCTCCACTCCTTACCACCCTTGTAGGAAAGAAAGATCTCCAAGAAGGCTGGACTGATATTCTTAGTCAAGTTGTTCAATATGCTCCATTGGCCCTTACCCTGCTTGGCAAAAAAGAAACCGAAGAAGGCTACTGAGATTCTTGGTCAAGTTCTTCAATTCGCTCCACTCCTTACCACCCTTGTAGGAAAGAAAGATCTCCAAGAAGGCTGGACTGATATTCTTAGTCAAGTTGTTCAATATGCTCCATTGGCCCTTACCCTGCTTGGCAAAAAAGAAACCGAAGAAGGCTTTACTGAGATTCTTGGTCAAGTTCTTCAATTCGCTCCACTCCTTACCACCCTTGTAGGAAAGAAAGATCTCCAAGAAGGCTGGACTGATATTCTTAGTCAAGTTGTTCAATATGCTCCATTAGCCGTCACCCTGCTTGGCAAAAAAGAAACCGAAGAAGGCTTTACTGAGATTCTTGGTCAAGTTCTTCAATTCGCTCCACTCCTTACCACCCTTGTAGGAAAGAAAGATCTCCAAGAAGGCTGGACTGATATTCTTAGTCAAGTTGTTCAATATGCTCCATTGGCCCTTACCCTGCTTGGCAAAAAAGAAACCGAAGAAGGCTTTACTGAGATTCTTGGTCAAGTTCTTCAATTCGCTCCACTCCTTACCACCCTTGTAGGAAAGAAAGATCTCCAAGAAGGCTGGACTGATATTCTTAGTCAAGTTGTTCAATATGCTCCATTGGCCCTTACCCTGCTTGGCAAAAAAGAAACCGAAGAAGGCTTTACTGAGATTCTTGGTCAAGTTCTTCAATTCGCTCCACTCCTTACCACCCTTGTAGGAAAGAAAGATCTCCAAGAAGGCTGGACTGATATTCTTAGTCAAGTTGTTCAATATGCCCCATTGGCTCTCACCCTGCTTGGCAAAAAAGATAGCATATCTGAGGACTTTGGAGCTACTATTACAATTACAATCTAACAAGGTACAAAAAGATTTTGTATTACGCTTGAACACATTTTTGTGAAACAAAAATCAGAAAATAACGCAATTTTGAAACGTTTTTGTTTTCGAAGAAAATAAACGTTCTTTTGTGACACTGAAATATTTGAAAAACAAAAACGGACCGATTGTTCGTGAAAAAAAAAGTACATTTCAAATTTTAAATTGATCTTAATAGAAAGCGTTTTGGTTTTGTATTACATCTGCTGTGCCAGTTTTTAAATACGAAAATAAATATGAAATAACACAGATCTTTGTCAATTAAATGTTTTTTCCTTGTTTGTAAGTAGTTTTTAGACACATCAAAGCTTTAAGGGTTAAAATGTTAAAATAGTTCTCAACGGCCAATAAGAAAACAGGTCGGTCTCTATGCCTATTATTGTTACTGTTATAAAAATAAAGTGTATTATTATTATCATTGTTATTATTTCCTTTCTCCGGTTTAGTTTAATGTAGCTTTAAAATGGACTTAATGTATGTCACCTCTTCCCTTGCAATATAAAGTTCAGGGATTTTAATAGCTCTCCACTAGAGCTTTTATGCAATAATGCACTATAAAGGAGAAACATAAATGATTTTCTTTAACTATATAATAATACTTTACTATTAAATTACTATAAAGAGAGGCGTAGGTCACTATGTTATCTAATGGATAATAATAATACTAGTATTTAGGAAGAGACCCACGCGTTTCTTTATAGTAATTTAAATTGTAGTGTATTATACTATAATTAAAGAAAATAATTTTGTTTTCTCCCTTTTAGTCCATTATTAGAAAAAAAAACAAAAGAAATAAAAAGAATAATAAAAAACAAACGCAAATGTGGTCTGACACACACCCTCACTACAATAAAGATGATGGCTATTATAATTTGACACGAAAACAACAGTACATAATCTTTCGACTTAGAACAGGCCACAACAGACTAAATCAACACATGCACAAAAAACTAAAGGTTGGGTGTGGCGAAATGTGCCCTTGTGGCAAGGCCCCGGAAAATTCGGAGCACGTCCTTCAGGAATGTTCTCTGTATAGCCAGGCACGAGTCAGACACTGGCCCCTGCCCACCCCACTCAGGGAAAAATTATATGGGGCACCTGCCAAACTGGAGACCACAGTCCGGTTTGTTCACGAAGTTGGACTTGTCTGAATCCTCCACCATATTCTCAATTAAGAACGAAGAAGAAGAAGAAAAAAAAAAACAGGTTATTAAAACTTTTTTTTATAGAATTTTGCTCCAGTACTTTAAATTCTTTATTTAGAATGGGGTTGCATGACTAAAAACTATTGCGCACCAAATGAACATGATAACGAGTGTATTATAATTTGGAATAATTGGATAAGACTGTCTACTAATTTCAGAAAATTGTAATTAATTCATTAAAAAATTAATTAGTTATCGAATTAAGTCAAATTTAATGTCATATTGCACTGTCTTCATGTCTTGACCACGTGCCAACTTTGAAACGAATCTGTTAGTTAGAAGTGCCCGAAATTTCTCTAGCCCGTTTCGATCTATGACGACAGACTGACGACAATGGAAGCAAGTTAAATAAAAGCTTGTAATAAAAATCACAAGAAATTTACAAACTTACTTAAATTTTGGCAACATTCATATAAGATTTATTAAAAACATAATTTTAAACATATAACTAGCTTTGTAGGGTTACACGAATAAAAACTACTTAGTACATTATCAATGTGACGAGTGTATACAAAAAGTTGTAAGCATTAAGTTTTATCGTTCTACGATGGAGAGTTAAAACGTTCTTTTGAAGAATACACAGTGGCCGAATAGATTTTTATATCGTGTGGTTTGGGAGTTCCCTTTACATCAAGGTGTTCTCTTCTATTCAATCTGCCCTCATATGTTTCGACCAAGACAACAGTGGCGCTTAGAATTCGTTAGTTAAGAGGTTATTAAGTGTAAAGAAAACCAGTAAAGAAGACATTTTCAGAGTTGGAGAGGAAGAAATTGAAAGACATGCCAGGTCGCCGAAAAACATCATCGACATGCGCCAAACTGGAGACACATTTTTCAAACTGCGCGCCTTCAACTTCGACAACAATACAACCAGAGGTTGATGTGTCTAAAGATACACAAGCACAAAATATCCCGGCAACCACATCATCTCTTATGCAGAATCAACTCGTCGAGACTCAAGACAATAAAGAATTGTCCATTGAGATTTTAGAAGAAACCCATTTAAAAGACGATATCGGCAGAACATTGCCAGTCAAACTTAATGCTTTAATTGAAACAAATCTTGAATATCCGACAGATCATTTTTGATTTGTTATACATCCGTAACACCGGATCAAGTACATTACTGGAGTTAGGTCCTTGTCAACCAGGCCCAGTGTTTCTTCCAGACTTTTTTCTCCGGGGAGGGGGGGGTGGTGGCACTTGATATTTTCGGGGGGGGGGGGTGGTGGTAGTCAACATTTTTCGGGGGGGGGGGGGAGGACACTAGTAAAATTGTGTATGTCTACTATATACATTCCATCTCGTTCGGGGGGGGGGGGGGCTCAGTTTTACGATGGGCTCACCCCCCCTTGAAGAGATGCCTGGAAGAAACTCTGACCAGGCCTCAAAGATGCAAATGTAAATTTTTTTCAAAAATTTTAACTGGTCGCCACTTTAATGCCAATTGGTTGAGGAAAAGACCCATACGAAGTGTTGTGCGACACTGGCCAGTATATTCACCCAAGGCAAGTAATATGATTTGTTTTGCTGGTTAGCTTTTTAAAGAGAAGTCAGACACTTGGGGTGATCAAAAATTAGTTTGTAGGAGCTTTACTAAAGGTCCCGACAAATTGAGAAACATGAAAACTCCGAAAATCTCAAGATTGCAAAGAGAACTTTTTCTTTTAAGACATTTCGATTGTTTCAAGACATAATATGTGGCATTTTAACAACAGAAAAGAAGCAAATAGAACAGAGCAGAATAATACTTGAAATAATTATTGATGCAGTTCTCTATTTATGATAGCAGTGATCGGTGTTCAGGGGACATTGTGAATCTCAAGGTGTAGGAGAACCTACATTTTTGGAACTTTTTGGAACTTTTTAAGCTCCTATTTAAGAAAAAAGAGATGAATTGTTAAAACAACATTACATTTAATTTTCGGTGACGTACTTAAGTCCAGGTAGTAAAACGACCTAATAAAGTCTAACCCTAGACCGAATTTTAAAGAAGATAGTTCGTGACATGACGATAGCTAGGTATTTCACTTTGATTGTAGATTCAACTATTGATCAATTTTCTTTGTCTATCGGATATGTTACAGAACACGAAGACACAATCGAAAGATTTATTCAATTTTGTGAACCCACAGAGGTTTATTTTTCAAAACGCTTCTAACAGCAGTCACAGATTTAGGGCTGTCAATCACAAAACGCTTCTAACAGCAGTCACAGATTTAGGGCTGTCAATGACCATGTGCTATGGTCAGTTCTACGATGGAGCAAACACCATGTCTGGTGAAAAAGCAGGCCTACAAAAACAAGCAGAGTTTCTTCCAGGCATCTCTTCCGGGGGGGGGGGGGGGGGGGGGAGGGGGGAGGACGCGTGGTCCCCACCCCCAGGTGGAATTTATATATCAAACATATACTCTTACTAGTTCCCCCCCCCCCCCCCCCCCCAGGAAAATGTAGACCGCCCCAACCACGAAAATATCAAGTGCCCTCCCCCCCCGGAGAAAAAAGTCTGGAAGTAACACTGCAGTTAAGAAAATAGCTCAAGAGGTATCATTTACACACTGCTGTGCTCATAATTTTAATTTAATTATCATATAAGTTTTTTCATCTAATATTCAAACACAACTGTTTTAGGAGATCTGGAAAACATTTATATATTTTTCACCGGAAGTCTAACCCGTCATGCTAATAAACTATTAAAAGAGGAGCAACGTAACAACATAGAATCATTTTTACTAACACTCAGTGGCGTAGCGAGGTCGGGTGTCACCCGGTGCGGCACTTAATGGTGTCACCCCCCCCCCCCCCCAGAGGCGTAGCGACCCTTCCTGGCGCCCGGGGACCAACTTTCCATTTTCCGTTTGCACCCCCCTCCTCAAACTTTAGATTTGCACCTCCCTCAAACTTTCGATTTGCACCCCCATCCTCCACCCTTATCGGGATTTGTCAAATTGGCTCTAAAAAAGACTTTTTAACACTCGAATTAATCAATAAGTGGAATTATCATTTTTCTCTATATATTTAGCTATTTTTTGCCTTGGTTTAGATGTGCGACGTCACATTTTTTCATTATTTTAGTCGTTATTTCACGTTTTAGAAAGCTGTTTTAATGAATTGTAATAGAAATTGATTAAAATACTCTATGTTGATAGAGTTCAGACAAGGTTTTGGAAAAATATCGATGTTTTAAGAAAAATTGAACTGCAATTTGGGGGGGGGGGGGGGGGGGGGGGGGAGGGGGAAGTCTGAGGTTTCACGTCATTTCAGAGGGGGGGGGGGGGGCGGTGCTCTGGCCTTTAGCGACGATGTTTGACGGAGGGGTAGGGGGAGGTAAAAATCGTCCAAAAAAGCGTGACGTCATTTATGGATGACCCCGCGGTACAACGCGTTAAATGCTATCGCTTTGTTTTACTGTGCAACCCATCTGCAATATAGCGTACTAGTTTAGATACTGTTCGCAAACCAAATATTAAATATATTAGAGTACGCCGAATTATAGATAGTTACTCTAGTTAGCTGGAGTCTCTACTTCAACTGACCGAGGCTTCTTTTGAAAGGGAGGAAATTAAGTAAAGTATTGACTATGTAAAAAGCGATTATAGGATTATCTCCTCTGTGCAAATGTAGGTATGCCGAGGTTTATCGAATCGCTACTATTTCCCGGAATGAAAGAGTGATACATTTTTTTTTCTATAGGGCATAGTAGGTTATTTTTTGTTTGTTTCCTTATTAGTGTGAAATAAATGCAGACTGTTCCCATCCGGTGTTTCTTCCAGACTTTTTTCTCTGGAGTGGGGGGGGGGGCACTTGAAATTTTCTTCCGAAGAGATGCCTGGAAGAAACTCTGTTCCCATCTTACGTGTAGTGGTGCAACCTCTAACTTAAAGCAATGTCCTTGAATGTACCATTACATTAAAGCAGGGGTCTCCAAACTACGGCCCGCGGGCCGCATGCGGCCCGCGAAGTCCTCTCATCCGGCCCGCGGAGATCTTTTTGTCCAACGAAAAATAGTTTGTCGGTGATTGTTGAGGAACTTTGTCCAGAAAAATCAAAGGCATGCCTGGAAGAAACTGGCCCCCGACTGAAATTTGATAGTTAATGCGGCCTTCGGACTGAAAAGTTTGGAGACCCCTGAATTAAAGGGAGGCTAGTAAGGAATTTTTATTTTATTTTAGTTAGCAGAGTGGCCTATATTGCGTCGGTAGTAGAGTCAAGTATTCATTTTCGTTTAGTTACAGGTTAGTCTTGTAGTAGTGTTAGTGTACAGTAGTGTACACTGTACTACGCTTATCATCCTTATGTAATATGTAGTGACAGTACTTAGGCCTAGTACTTAATTATTAAATATTAATTAATAATAATAGCCTACCTAGAGTTAGTTGTTACTGTAACTGTTAGTAAGTGAGTGTTAGACTGTTGTTAGACATTTAATTTTAACTTTTAAAGTTTAAAATTAATAAAATTAGTAGGCCTAATTAGTAATTAGTAATTAGTATTAGGTTAGGCTAAATACTAAAAATAGTAGAATTTAGATTAGGCCTATTATTATACTATTATATTTATAATATAAATTATTATAAATATAAAATTTTTTTTTAATTAAAAGTTGGACAAATAATACTACTAATAGTACGAATACTATTGTAACTATTAGTATTGTATAAGTATTAGCCTATCCTATTAGTCTTAGAGTACACTCTTAGACTATTGCTATTACTATTAGGATTAGGGTAATCTATCGTTTTGGGTACGTAAAATCGCCCGCGACTAGTAATGTGAAAAACAGGTGACTCCTCACATTTTAATAATTATTTCACATTTTGAGGAGGATTTATGTTTTGAAAAATGCAAAAATGTTTCCTTGTTTCATTTATGTACCTGTTTTTAAACAATTGAATTAAAACTTTTCAGTAATAAATGAACACCAGCGATGTTTCCAACAGATGAAACCATGCTCATTTACTATAGCAGCCATCTTGTTAAAGTTTTATTTTTATAGACTTATAGCCCGAGATTCAGGCGGAAGTCACTCTATTTTACAAATGGCTGCTGTTTATATAGTTAGCAAATCTTGCTTGCAGACACTGATGTTTAAAGTTAATTTCTGGCCTATATTAATATATTTAGCCATTGATTTAGGTTTATTATTCATTTATCTATAATATTTGACACAAACATATCACAATATACTTCTATTACAGCCTTGACAATGAGGTAACGTTTTCGTACATTAATAGCCGCGGGCGATTTTACGTACCCAAAACGATAGATTACCAGGATTAGTACTATTAGTAATACTACAGTAATAGTACTAATACTCTATCAATATTTCAATAAGCCCAAGGCCTAATATTTTAAATTTATTAAAGATAATAACAAATATCACCTATATTTTAGTTTTTAAATTAGGGCCTATACAAAACAATAGTTTTAATAGTTAAAAATAGTGTTTGTCAAATTTGTGTAAAGGTTTAAAAAAACAACATGGATCAGCACATCCCTACAGAGTTACCTAAGGAAGCAAGTTCAGATCCAAATAAAGAAAAAACAGCAGACATTGAAGCTACTAACAATTGGGATCTCAAGACAGAAAATTATTTGACGCAGACGAAAATCTGGCCCGTGATAGGCAGGCACATTCTAGCCCACTTTGATGACACCTCCATTGTTGTTTATCAAGCCTTCAAACCATCCATTGCAGAATTTGCTGTCCAAAACCAAAGGTCTGTTGACTTTTATTCAAAATTTACTGTTAATCTCAATAGTCACACGAGAAATTTTATTTCAAATTTTATTTTCATTCTTCTCATGTCAATTTTTTGAAATCCTTGACAGATTAGGTGGACCAAATTACAGTGTGGATAGAATGTCTTGGATTAAAACTAACTTCCTTTGGATGATGTATCGCTGCGGGTGGGCACAGAAGGCCAACCAGGAGAGAGTTCTTGCTCTGAGAATCACCAGAGAAGGTTTTGAGGATATTTTGTCCAAGGCTTTGACGATCCACGTAAGATTGTAGATTTTGTGGCCACTGTTAATGTATGGAAAGTTGTCCCTGCTAATGATAAACATAAAATATTGTTATTATATTTCATAAAAGCAAACATTACCTTGTGTTTGGAACTATGTCTACATTACAACTAAAAAGATAACATGGGTTTTAAAATTTGGTTGCTTGACTCATTAAGCATAATTGTTTCAATCTTTTTGTGCTTTAAGTCTATAACTTTAATTTCACACTTTTAGAAACAAACAGCTCTAGGGATTTCAACCAAAGATGTGGAGGTAAGACTTCAGTGGGATCCTGACCACAACCCAAGGGGAGAAAACCTGCAACGTCGTGCTATCCAGCTAGGACTTAAAGGAAAGGTGGGAAATGTTTTAATTTATTTACTTCTCAGGTCAAATTGACTACCATTTTACACTTCATAGTCCATAAGAATGAGGGGTCAATCTGTTTCAATGACTTGGCCTAACAGGGGAATGTGTGGTCAGCACTACACTCATCTGACATGTACCCACCTGGGTGAACTGAATAATGTCAAATAGACTCCAGGCTGGGAACCAATCTCTACACATTACCATTAGTGTAGTCTATCTTTGACCATATGGTCCCATCATTTGATTTGCATTAGATGTAAAAAAAAAAAAAACTCTGAGAGTTAAAGTAAAGAAGTTCATAACTTTTTCTCATTATAACTGGACATATTTATTTTTTCTTGCAGACATTGTTGAACTTTACAAGTACATACATCGTCAACATCAAGGATATAACAGACTTTGTACACCAGCAATACCATGTTTTAACTACCAAAGGCGAAGACTCTCTTCAGTGTCCTTGTGAGAGAATTTATATACCAATACACAAACAGACATGTCAACAAATTGATCTTTCTGAAGAAAAATAATAGAAGTAGTGAACAGGATTTACAATGAAGTATAATAGGCAGTTATACCACCCAACAGCTGTATTCAACACAGTTTGCCTGTAAAACGAAGGTGTTCAGTTGGCATGCAGTTGTGGCAGTAATGGATACACCAGGGGATGCAGGAACAAATGCTTTTTAAGTGACATTTGAAAAAAAGCCATCATATCTTAAAGTAAGCATTCAAAGTAAGAATGTCAAATGTGAATCAGAATGTTGGTAGTGTTTAATAGTGAGCATTACAAAATGTCTGTTCTGATATTAAGCTGTGATGCTTGAAATACAATGGGTTTCACTTCCATTATTTTGTGTCCTGTGTGTAAGGCATGACAAGAAGTGAGTTATTTAAATTTTGAAAAATATGTTATACTTAAACTAAACAGTTGATTAAAAATTTATTTTTTCAATCCTCTTACTTCATCAGTTCATGTTTTATGTATTCTTTGTTATGGACACTGTTAAAGGAAATTGTATTGCCTCATTTGAACTACAAGTCATGATTTTATGGGGTAAAAAACCAAACAAGTGACTCAACATTGGGCATCTTGTTTGGTTGTCAGGCACTTCCCAGTGTTAACAGACATTAGTCACATTCCTAATCAAGATATGAATGTTTTCTTTTTAAAAAAATAAAATAACAAGTGTTAAATTGTATAAATAAATTGTTTATTTTCTCTGGACAAATAGCTTTTTAAACATAAAAGGTATGCACAAGCCAAGATTTTGTGTAGAATATTTTACATGTGATATCTCTGTATAACAGTGTTTTCTTCAATGTGTAGAAACATAGTAAAACACTGAGATTCCCTTAGTAATGTGGTTAGTGCATACCCTTTTTCTAAAGATACTTTTTATTTTTAGTGTTTTTTTTTTGTCTGGAAAAAAAGCATTTAATTTAATAATAATAAAAAAAAAACAATAAGAATTTTAAAAAGAATGTAACTAACAAAGCTTGCAATAAAAATTATTCAAAAGTAAATTTAGGGCAGTGCTAAGTTTGAATTATTTATTTATTAAGAAACTTATAACAATAAAACATTTACATAAAGGTGAACAAATAACCATGGTATAGTATTGCATGTAGGAAGCCATTTATCAAAATACAAAGTTTCTTACGCACCCTAAATTACACAGCAGATCACAACAACCAACATTATGTCTAGCATGTATTACAACATAAAATTCTATCGGTAGCTTTGTTAACATTTTAGCAGCATTACAATGAGATCACAAGGAAGCAGATTATGAGATTAAAGGCTTATAGGCACATAATTTTTAAACCACTATAAGGGGATCACTGTCAGAATCAGCTAAAAACACTTGCATAGAATCACCAAATGACTTGCTTAGTTTTTCTTCGACCACCTTCAAGTACCCCCTCTCTGTGTTACTGTGGTGGCACAGGATGACATTGCATCCACGGTGGACGGCGTCCAGGACCTCGTGGTGGGACATCTCCCCTGTGAGCAAGAGGTCAGCTTGCACCGACCCTAGGACCCCTGACCCTGATCCAGCGCAAACAGCAACTGACTCGATCTTGTCTGTTTGTTTACCTACGGAGATCATTAAAATGTAACACTCTAGTAAAAGCAAAATTTGATGACTATATTATAATTAGTAGAAGTAAAGATTCTTCTTTAGACCTAACGATCCATTGGGCAGATGAAGTGGAGTTCATATTTTTCTTGACCTCTGCATATAAAGGGATAATGTAGTCAGCACTATGCCCAGCCGCCTTTACTTTCCCTAACGTGAGTTAGATACCCATCAGAGTTGGGTGGACTCAGGGATATTTCACTAACTTGAACTTGGATTCGAACTCGAAGCTATCGGGCTAGCAGTCTAGCGCTCCACAGCTAGGCCACTCCGTCCTATATATTACGATTAGGTTATGATAAAATTCTAGCCTTAACATAATTGAATTTGAATACAATATCAGTGAATTAAAAGTTTCAAAAAGTTTGTTCAGTTAAAAAGATTACATGACTATAGCCTAGATGCTTGTAGGTATACATTTTTTTTATTACACTGAGCAAAAGCTCTGCAATGAAGGTTACAATATTTTAAAACCTGTTTTTTTTAGAAACATAGCCTGTGGTCACCATTACAGTAATTGAAATAAATGAAACTTATTCAACCTTTTGAAAAGTTTTTCAAAGATATGAAACAACATAGAAGACAAGTACAGCTAAAAATAGATTGTACACTTACTCTGGGACTTTGCCACACTGACATGCTGTAATTTTAAATGAGATTTAACCATTTCTATAGCAGCATCCAAGCTAATAGAGTTAGACAACTCAGCTTTTCTGCCAAAACCAGTTGTTGTCCTTGGTGCCTATTCATAAACATGAAAGTCTTTAACTTCAAGGAAGACAAATATTAAAAAAATAAATAAACATGTTCTAAATTTACTAGTGAATGCTGTCTAAAATTCCTCACAACAGAAAGCATAAATTACCTTCATTAACTGTTTGATGCTCAAATGTTCAAGGCAAGAGTTCAAGGTCAATCCTTTCATCATACTAGTCAGTTCAGATTTGTTGCATTCCACACACAGCTTTAGAGTTTCAGTCCTAGATGGAAACCAACCTTTACATGAATGGTCTTTGTTGTTTGAAACATGTAAGCTGAATTCTAAACTAGCAAAACAGAACTTGTTTACATGAAGTAAACTGAACAGTGAAAGAGAACAAAAAATTATATGCACTATGTCTAAATTCTAAACAAGCAAAGCAGAACTTCTTTACATGAAGTAAACTGAACAGTGAAAGATGACAAAAAATTATATACACTTTGTCTAAATTCTAAACAAGCAAAGCAGAACTTCTTTACATGAAGTAAACTGAATAGTGAAAGAGGACAAAAAATTATATACACTTTGTCTAAATTCTAAACAAGCAAAGCAGAACTTCTTTACATGAAGTAAACTGAATAGTGAAAGAGGACAAAAAATTATATGCACTATGTCTATGTACAGGTGGCTATTTAATGTAGAAAAACCCAGAAGCGAGAATTGTAATAAAGATAAGATAACATCCACTAAACTGCACCCAGAAAAATAATGGAGAGCGGCCTAATGTTACAACAGTCGGAGGATATAGCTAGATACCAGACAATATGCGTTGAAAGATATGAAACTCTACCACTGATAGTCTTGTTTTCAGATTATTATCCAAAATCCACAAAATATAATATGTGCAGAAGCAGTGGATATATAAAATGTGTTTTGTAGGGTCTTCACGCTATATTCTATAATTCATAAACTGAGAAACAAATTTTCCCAATCAACACAGAGCAATTATTTAGTAATTTATCTAAACTTTTTTCACAAGAACAAAACTTTACTTTCATATTAAGCACAAAACAGCAAGTTTGCAAATATAATCTGGTATAATATCTGGTATAATCTGATATCAAATCCTAACCCTTACCCTAAAAGAAAAACTTACATTTCCCTATGTTTTAGGCTTAATGCAGAAGTGCCAAAAACTCTTAACTTACGAGCCAACTTTAACAGGATGTGTCTTAAATGCTTCTTTGTTTTTCCTGAGCCGCGACTCTGCTGGGAGCTGTGACAGTAGTACTTGATCGCGGATTTCTTTTAACTTGGATGGGTCGATTTCAATTTCTAAGGCATGAGTCAAACCATCAGGAAACTCTTCTGTTACTTCTATAGGAGCAAGTGTGTCTTTCTTGTAATCTAGAGACATATTACAATGAAAATAAATTCTTTAATCATTTCTTGTATGAGATAAAACTACAATTTTGCTTATAATTTATATACAAATCTTTTAACTTAAAGATGAAGGCTTTTATAAAATTAAATAGCTACATCCTTGAAGAAATTTGGAATTAGAATTCTTATTAACTTGTAATAATTTTTAAATTTTGTAAAATATAAGATTAATAAATTTAGGCATCAAATTTTTAGGAATCAAATTTTTAATAACTAAGGTACATATAGCTAAAATAACAGTAACATGTTTTTTTTTTACCAAAGGCAGAAATGAGCCAGTCATTCACTCCATCTTTCACTGCATCAAAACTTGTGTGAGGTGAAAATAATGCTATTCTGTTTTCTATACATTCCACCACAAGTCTCTGTTTCCATGAATCCTGTGTTAGTCGCTTGATAGGAGTAAAAATCGGCGGGTGGTAGGAGATGATGAGGTCCACAGTTTTATCTTTGGCCTCTTCCATAACACCGCTGGTCAAATCGTTGGTCAGCATAATTTTACTGATATACTTGGGTGGTGAAGGCTCAACCAGCAGGCCTACATTATCCCAGCTAGCTGTGGATGGTGGGATATAACAAATGATTAAATAACATTTCAGGTAAATGCTGAATTTCAAAATTGATTATCTACCAAAACAAAAATATTTAAAAAAAATTCAATTGTTTAACCAACAACACTTACAGCTTGATAATATTAAGAAACCTATGTTACTTCTCTCTGTGAGTTATTTCTGATTTATCAAACAGTTGGGTTTAAACACATAACTACAATAACTTTTTTACCTGCTAAGCTAAGAGGTGCAAGCTGCTTAAGTTTAACCATCACAGACTCTAGAGAATTCATCCTTTGGTTCTTTGATGTATTGTGAATGCTTCTGTGTCTGGGCAGTGATTACTTAAGTGAACCTGAAAAAAATAGAAATAAAAAGGTCAGGTGATAATCATGATTTACAAAAATAGTTATAAAATCATCGCAATCGTATAGCCTAACAAGTAATTAATTATTATAGAGTGTAGAGTATAGTGTATAGCCCTCCAGCTACTAGATCTAAATACATATTAAACAGCAACTTAAGTATATTACTTCTAGTAGTATTCATAATCTAAATTCAATTTTGTAGTTATAGGCTAATTCTCATATTTGTTTTATTTTATTTAAAGGCCTACATAACATAGGCCTACTTACTACTTTTACTATAGATCTAGTCATTAGTTAGTTATTATTGTTAAGGATAATAAATTTTTCTGCATAGTTGTACACAACAACAAATATAACAAATAGACATAAATCTTCTTATTCTAGGGCATCTGTGAATGTATCCATCCAAGACAAGTAGCTGCTGCTTCTAAGATTCTATTATTTAAAGCTAGTGTACTAAGTACTAGATCTAGATCTAGAAATCTAGATCTAGATCTAAGTAAGTATTAGTAATGTAAGACTAGACGGTAAAAAGCACTAAAATTAACTAAAATCAAAATAAAGCGCCACAAAATATAATAGAAATATCAACCCCAATATTTTATTATTTATTGTTTGTGATAACTCATGCGGAAATCTACCGAGAGTGGAATAATAGCCGACAAAGACACGAAGCTTTTACATCGACAACTGAAGTTTGTTGTTATCTGATAATTATATATTCGTCTTTTTACTATATCTCTCTGGATCTATTCCTATGCCGTTAGAATTAGAATCCGAGGTGCAGATGCCATTTATATATTTTTTTCATCATGGGGTCGTCCATAAATGACGTCAAACTCGTAGGTGGGGGGGGGGGGGGGGTCCATAATTTTGTGATGGTGTGTGATGAGGGGGGGGGGGGGGTCTGATGGTAGGACGTCACACTTTTGCATTATAAAACAGCAATGTTAGAAAACGAATTTTAGCCGTCATTTCGCGTTTTAGAAAACTGTGTTAATAAATTGTAATAGGAATCTATATATATAATTCTCTTCTGGGAGCCGTTAGAAAACAAGCTGCAAACGAGCCTTACAATCCCCTCTCTTCCTCTCTGTCACTATCACTACCACTACCACCCCCACCCCACCCCCTACATTATCTGGTGAGCTGTGGTCACGTTAATGTTTACAAATCGTAGACGGGTTTAGTGACGGCTATCAGGGGCAGATAATTTAGTTTGAAACGATTTTAAACTTACAAGAGGTTACTAAGTGGAGGCTGCTTTCACGGGGGGGGGGGGGGGGGGGGGGTGTAGGGTAGGGGTTGGGGGAAAGGGAGGGGGGGGGGGTTAGTGTTTAAAGCAAATATTTTCAATGGCAGCATTGGTACTGTCGAATTCACAAATTATGAATTACTGAAAAGTAGAAAATAAAACAACTAAATAGCGGCGTATGATACGCCGCGGGGCGGCTCGTTTATTAAAATACTCTATGTTGACAGAGTTCAGACAAGATTTTGGAAAAAAATATCGACGTTTTATGAAAAATTCAACTGCAATTTTGAGGGGGGTTGTAGACTGAGGTGTGACGTCATTTTAGGGGGGGGGCCTGGCTTATTGTGACTATGTGTGACGGAGGGGAGGGGGGAGGGAAGAAAATCGTCAAAAAAATCGTGACGTCATTTATGGATGACCCCCAAGGCTAGTATGAAATTGATCTAGCTCTAGATTCTAGATCTAAATACAGGGAATTATTTTAAAAATTAACAGGGTCTAAAACTATTTCATAATTTTGTGAGCTATATGATGAGTGACGAAATAGCGAAAATTTCCTTTTAGAAATCTATGCAATTTACAGAAATGCTGTCCACAGACTGAATGAAATATAAAATGTTTGCTTGCTTTTTCTTCTTTTTTTTTTATGTGTGTTGGAAACAATGTCTTCTGACAAATGCTGTAGTGTTTTTAGTGTAAACTGTCTACCAGTGACTTGGACGTTAACCAACAGTCAGACCTCTGTTCTTTTCACTTTAGAGTCGAGATTTCTAGTCCTAGGTGTAAAGATAAAGTAAAAAGAAATTCGCTTCCGTATGGGAAAAGAGCAGATGTTTTAAAAAATGAACTTACGTAACAAACAACTACCATATGAATAGCCGTGAATCATCTTTTTATAGGCCGACCAAAGCGTGATGATTTTTAAAACTATTTTAGTGACTATTCTAAAACAACTTGATAAAGATTTATCTGTACATGACACAGTCCAGCCAGAGGCGTAGCGATCAGTTCTGGCGCCCGGGGCGAAGTATCAAATTTCTCCCCCCTCTCTGGTACAAAATATAGTTATTCTCGTTGGAAAAAAAAAAAAAAAAAAGCGCCCCGACCCCCTTTTGAAAATGTTTTTTTTGGGGGGGGGGGGGGAAGAGGGGGGAGTTTAAATGAACCAGGAGAGAAAAGTATTTGTCTATTTTTAAAACTTTGACTGTGCAGCCCAGAATTTGCTTTTTTTTTATCCTACCCAGTTTGCCCCCCCCCCCCTTTGGATCACCCCACCTGCCCACCCCTAGCTACGCCTCTGAGTCCAGTCCTTCTAGGTCATCTACAGCTGGCCTGGAACAATCTTGAGAGATAAGACTTGATTCGACATCTCCAGAGACACGTAGGTCTATCTGTTACTGAAAAGTTTGTCTTCAAGTATATTTAAACCATCGTGTGTGAAATCAGCATCACAACAATGATGACTAAGCCTTGACATAAGTAGTCAACCACCAACAGTGGCGTATATAGACCTATAATGTAAATGAAAAGCGTAAATGAAACCCCCAACCCTCCAAAGGGTATGTATGTAGCTACCACACTGACTAACACTGACTAACATCACTGACTAACATCACATAATACATCAACAAACATAGCACAGCACAAACTTGTAATATAATGTCAACTTTAACGTCACACGGTACCCTATACACTATTGCTCACATACAGAAGACGTGACTATAGCGTGAACTTTCACCCTTAGCGTCTATATCGAAGGATCAGGTTCATTGATTTTAAATTTTGTTTGTATAGTTCATTCGAGTGGCTGTGGACCGTGCCCACTTTGTATGTATGTGATGATTAAACTGGGGTCGGTCTGAGCGGTTCGGCGGAGGTCAAGCCCCCCCCCCCCTCCCGACTTATAAGATTCACGATCGGATTTTGTCCGTGTGTACGGTAGAACTATTATGAAAGGCTCGGTGAATGCGCATATGAAACTGGCAAGGTTCTGTGATTCCAAAAAGGTAAAGAACCACTTGTCTGAACTGTCCTTCCGCAGCGGACACAGGTACAACTACCCAGAGTCACAGAGGTCACATGACATGGGAATACGGTGCTCATCGCTCACCGAAGAGCATAAAAAATTCATCAATAGTTGCGGTCCCACAGGGGCCGCAACCAAATAAATTGTAAATTATACCCCTGAGATGTATGTGTTACACAAGTCTAAAAAATATTGAATGTATGTATTTCTTTGTTATTGTATATATATATATATATATATATATATATATATATATATATATATATATATATATATATATATATATATATATATATATATATATATATATATATATATTAGTTATTACATTATTGTGGCGTGTAGAATTACGCCCACAAATACATGCGTGGATTGGTTGAATTTAGCGAATGTCCACATTTTTGTGTATATTTTGTCCAGGCATAATTTGTGTAAGTTGTGGAGTGATAGCTGTTTCTGTACGCCCGTGTGTATGTTGTAGACACATGTGTAAATCGCACACCAAATATTCGCACATTAGTTTCTATCGTACAGAAAGAATTTCACACATGCCTTTTTTAAAACAACACAGCTTATGTAACTTGATGTTTCAAATATATTTTACAACAAGTAATCCTGAATGTCTGTTATCAGGATTATATAAGTCTGTGCTGTTTGTTGAATAAAATACTTAAAAAAAAACTTTTTAAAAAACCACGTTTTTCTTGTGGACTAAAAAGTAGAAAATAACTATTTACATACATTTGATGACAAAAAACGTGGGTACGTTCACCATCAAATTTCCCGACCCATCTGCCCGACCCACGTTTTTTGTCATCAAATGTATGTAAATAGTTATTTTCTACTTTTTAGTCCACAAGAAAAACGTGGTTTTTTAAAAAGTTTTTTTTAAGTATTTTATTTTCTCCTTTTTAGTCCGTTGCTACACATGAAAAACGTGGTTTTTAAAAAGTTTTTTATATAGTTTATTTTCTACTTTATCTAATCACTTGATTAAGTATGACTTGACTAAGTGTTTTTAAATACACGGACTAAAAAAATCTTGAGCGACCGATACGCTTTAAACAGAGAAAGGGTGTAATTTACGTTGCTGGCGTGGAGATCTACTCACGAATCACGTGATCAAATCTCCCATAAACAAACAAATAAACGCGAAGCTGAGTTAAGGAAAAACGTGTTTATGTGTATTTTAGCATGCCCAGCGTACCAACCGTGTCACCGTTAACAATGTGTTACCGTGTCCGTTCTCCTTTTTAGTCCGTTGCTACACATAAAAAACGTGGTTTTTTAAAAAGTTTTTTTAAAGTATTTTATTTTCTCCTTTTTAGTCCGTTGCTACACATGAAAAACGTGGTTTTTAAAAAAGTGTTTATAAATACACGGACTAAAAAAATCTTGAGCGACCAGGATTCGAACCTGGGTTGTCGCGGCCACAACGCGAAGTACTAACCACTATACGATCACGGCCAGCGCGCTCACATCGATTGGGGCCGAAGTAACTGTGTCAATAGGCCTCAAGTCTTGTCGGTATCTTTAGAAATCATGTCCTCAATTTTATGGTCCTTGGGGCGTAATTAAATTAAGCTAATTACGGTCACTAATTGCTAGTTTTTATGATTGCATCTGAAATTGTTAGGCGAAAGTAGCATGCATGCCAAATTTCAGGTCTCTAGAGCAATCAGAAGTGGGCTAATTTTCGATGTCAATTTTAACAACAAACATCCAAACAACCAAACAAACAAACAAACGCGAAGCTGAGTTAAGAAAAACGTTTTAAAAAAAAACATTAGAAACTTTTAGAAACGAATTAGAGAAGGGGGGCTATATTTAATTTTACATCACGATAACATTGCTGATACAATGTACTGAAACTATCAAGTTAGGTTGGGGGTAGGATAAGGTCTAACCAACCAGCGTGTTGCCGGACGGACAGATGGACAACCCCACGTTGATGTTGGGGTTGTTGTTGTTGTACACGTGCACCAGGATGTCGTACAGCGCCGGGTCACGTGACTTCATCTGGTCCCTGGCCTGCTGCAGGGTCGGGCAGAGGTAGCCCCCGCAGAGGTTCATCCCCCCGGAGTTGACGATCCCCTCGTGGGTCACGCCGAAGAACGCCGCCGTCGCCATGGCGAAGTACTCCGCGGAGTTGGCCATGGCGTAGGAATTCAGGTCCCACGTCTGGCGTTGCTTGGCAACGTTGTAGGCGTTGGTGATCTGCTGTTTGACGGTGGCCGTGGCGGCGTAGAAGTTGACCAGGTGGCCGAATTCGTGGGACAGGATGTTGACGGTGTGGTGGTAGGGGTCGTTGTTGGAGCAGACGACGATGTCGTCCAGTACCACGGCCCTGGAGTTGGTCAGGCCGCCGATGTCTTCATATTTTCTGCCGTCAAAAGTGCAGGTGTTGGAACATGATCCTACGGACACGGTAAACAAACATTCTTTAAAAATAGCTCCATACAAATAATTCGCATTCATAGGCCTTTATTTTTAATATTCTCTTTTTTTTTTTTAAAAAAGGATTACCCACATAAATACCCGTGTTTCTTTCAGACATTTTTCTCCGCGGGAAGGGCTCTTAAATTTTTCAGAGGATGGGCTTAAATTTTGGAGGGGGGGGGGGGGTAGGCGGAGCAAACACTGGTTAATGTATACATTCCCTATATAAATTATATACAGGGGCGTAGCGAGGGGGGTGCGGGGGGTGCGGACCGCACCGGGTGACACCATTTAGGGGGGTGACACCAAGGCAAAATATAGCAAAATATATAGAGAAAAATGATAATTCCACTTAGGAGAGTGATTAATTAGAGTGTTAAATAGTCTTTTAAGAGGTTGGGGGTGCAAATCGAAAGTTTGAGGGGGGGGGGGGGTGCAAATCGAAGGTTTGAGGGGGGGGGGGTGCAAATCGAAAGTTTGAGGGGGGGGGTGTAAATCGAAAATTGAAAGTTTGTCCCCGGGAAAGGTCGTTGCGCCTCGGGGGGGGGGGGGGGGGGTGACACCATTATGTGCCGCACCGGGTGACACCCGACCTCGCTACGCCACTGATTATATATATATATTTTCTATTTCGTTCGGGGTAGGAGGTAGAACGCTACCCTTTCAAAGAGCTGCCTGAAAGAATCTCAGTAAAATACTAGCAAACCAGATCTAGAATGGAGGAGATAATATATTAAGAAGCGAAGTCGTTTTTATGTTTGTTTGACATGCCCTGAGATTTAACAGCTATTGATAAATCAAGCCTATTTTGGGAGGGGGGGGGGGAGGAATTATTTTAACTATACCTATTTAATATATATCTATGAAAATAGATTTAAAAAAAAAACAACATATTTATGAAAGATAACTTCTTAGTTGACTTTAATAAGGGTTTATTTTTTTTAATAAAAAAAATTAGCTTCGTTTCCAGTCACCTTCACAAGAGGAACCACAAGTTCCGCTGGCCAGATTCGCCATCTCCGGATATATGGTCAGCTTTTCCGCCGCGGTGAAGATACCAACAGTTCCTCGGGTCAATGTGTTGAACATACTCGCCGGCATGAACTTCGTCATCTTGAGAATGACGTCAGCGGCCACGTCTAGAGCGTGCTGGGAACACCTGGGAGAGGCTGCGATTTCCAACTGCGCATGCGCCGTGTTGAGAGTTGTCGTGAGTTGGCCGTTGGCCTCGAGGTAGATGTACTTGAAGCCCGGCAGACGAGCTCCGGCCTTGGCCTTGGGGAGAGTGCTGAGGTAGCGGAAGTCTTCAGTCGACAGGAAGTGGTTGGGTGTGCCGGAGCCATTTTGGAATGGCAGGGAGCATACGCCTGCAAGAAAGAGACAGAGTTTGTGTAGTAGGCTTGACCGAGTTCTTTTAACTCACTTGAAAAAACTGTATGATGAATAAAATGAAGTACCGACTTGTATACCTATAGTTAAATGACCATCGAGCTAACATTGGATTTATTGACAACAATTTAAGAGACGTGAATCGATTTGTAAGGAAGTATATGCAGATATAATATATTTTCCATATAAAGTAATCGCTTTCTGTGCGGTTTTTACTTCAAAACACATAAACCAGCCTGTGAAAAAACGCCACAGCAAACTATAAAAGACGGTCCGTAAATGACGTCACATTCTCAGTTGGAGGTGGGGGGGGGGGTCAGTTTTTTGTGTGTTCTGATGTGTGACGAAGGTAAAGGTAGTTCAGAAAGTGTGACCTTGAAATTTACAAGCAATTTTTGGAGGATTTGACTTTTTGTGTGGCAATTAGGGTGTGGCGTTAAAAAAAATCAACCCGCAAATAATCTTGACTTTGTTTATGGAAGACTCCCAATATAAGTGTGTTATGTATTCATCGTATCATTTTTCCCCATTCATGACCAATACACGTGGAGCAGATAAAGTAGAGTTTATCAGTTTCAGTGACCTCGGCATACATTAGGATGCGTGGTTAGCACTATGCCCAGCCTCCTTAGTTTCCCTAACGTGAACCAGGTACCCACCAGAGCTGGGTGGACTCAAGGACGTCCTACAGACTCGAAGCGGGGATCTGAACCCTAAACTTTCGAGCTAGCAGTCGTTAGCTATAATGTTATATCATGCACAAATATTTATTTTAAAAAATGGCTTATACCAATAAAATAATTAAAGATGTCTCATTTTGTGTTGTATTCATTGTCAAGGTATCCGATCATAACCCCCCCCCTCCCCCATGGACATAAACTCCCGCTACATAAACCCCCTGGATAATAAACCCCCGATTGAGGTTTATATAAGAAAATACTAAAGATAATGAGAACCAAAAAAAATATAATTAAAAACAAAACCAACAAGAACAAAATCAGTTATCTAGTTAAAAAAATAATGTTTCTCAATGTTTGAAATCTTAAAAAGATGATCAAAGATTCTATCAACGCACACATAACGCACCATATTAAAAAAACCCAAAAAAATCGCACAGATATACCAGTCTTAATTTTAAACTGCTACGACAGACAAGCACCTAAAGTGTAAGGACCCACCTGCAAACAGGGACACCAGCACCAGGACAAACATGGTTCAGCAGTAGACTCACACCGTAAATGTCCGTCTAGTGTATGTTTGTCCGCATCACTTATCATTGCACGTTTTATGTTCGTGTCTGTGCTATCTTGTCTAGTAGGGACAAAAAATGTGATGTTATTTTTTTTAACATTAACAGCGTCAAGGCTTTGGCTGATTACAGAGTTTAGATTCCAGACAAAGTTTAAGTACCAATGTTTTAACCTAATTAGTCGGTCAACATAAAGGCGTCACAAGGCGGGGAGCGGGGGTGCGGTCAGCGCTGGGTGACACCATTTAGGGGGTGACACCAAATACAAAAACGTAAAATTTACTGTCAAAATAATTTTTTTTTTATCTTAACGAAAATTAAAACAGTAGCGGGGAGAGGTGACACTAAAACGAAAAAAAAAGCCAAATTATTGGAGGGGGTGGGGTGGCACCCTCCGTTACCTCACCGGGTGACACCCGACCTAGTGACGCCACTCGGTCAATCATACCAACGTGATTGTAAAATTAAAAGTTCCGATATCGATCTACCCCAGGGCAGATGAGGTTCGTTAGCTGGGGACAGCGAGCCATCTAGGGGAGAAAACTACAAAATTATACTGCTGGCTTTTAGATTTTTTTCTAGGTTGAAAAAAAAAACAACTATCGAAGCAAATCCAAAAAGAAAAGCAGTCTGGAATCGGAGTCAGCGGCCTACATGGCGCATAACAAGTTGACACGTAATACTTTATTGCGTTGAAGGTAATCCCATCTAACATTATTATTAAGAACGAATAAGCAATAGCTGACTTATCGCCCCTGAAAATTAAAACGTTTAAAGCTTGTGGCATGTTGACAAAGCGTTTCAAAGTTCAAGGACGCCACTAATTTAAAATAAGTTCCGTCATTAATTAAATGGCGTTTTGATTGGTCAGATGTCAGTCAATGATTGATGTCAGGTGTAGAGAGGTTGTCTCGATTGGAATCAATCTTTAATGGTCACGTGACCAGCGACCCTCAACGAGCCGGTGAGTTCCAGCGTGTGAATTAATGATCTCGCTTTGGTTTTGTCGTGCTGACCTTGACCCCGTCAGGGTTCAAAGCTGAAAGGTCATTGTGCTCCGATTGTACAACGCAGTTGTGTCCGAAAAATCTAAAGAAAGAGGAAAAAATAATTTAAAATTTTTAAATAAAGTCGATCTAGTAGGGGACGGCGTGGTCGAAAGGTTGAACTCACTGCTGCTATCCCAAACGTAATGAGTTCGGAAATGCATGTTGATTAAAATAATACATAAATGATTAAACAAATAGGTCAACTCTTAGAGCCAATAAGAAAATATTGTCATGAACTGAGTATTTTGCATTGTTTTTCTAGGAGTCGCTATGAAATTTTTTTTCTTCCTATAATTCTAACGAGCCGCCCCGCGGCGTATCATACGCCGCTATTTAGTTGTTTTATTTTCTACTTTTCAGTAATTCATAATTTGTGAATTCGACAGTACCAATGCTTCCATTGAAAATATTTGCTTTAAAACACTAACCCCCCCCTCCCTTTCCCCCAACCCCTACCCTACACCCCCCCCCCCCCCCCCCCGTGAAAGCAGCCTCCTCTTAGTAACCTCCTGTAAGTTTAAAATCGTTTCAAACTAAATTATCTGCCCCTGATAGCCGTCACTAAACCCGTCTACGATTTGTAAACATTAACGTGACCACAACTCACCAGACAATGTAGGGGGTGGGGTGGGGGTGGTAGTGATAGTGACAGAGAGGAAGAGAGGGGATTGTAAGGCGCGTTTGCAGCTTGTTTTCTAACGGCTCCCAGAAGAGAATCATATATATACGAGCCGGCCCGCGGCATAACATACGCCGCTATTTAGTTGTTGTTGTTACTACTTTTCAGTAATTCATAATTTGTGAATTCGACAGTACCAATGCTGCCACTGAAAATATGTGCTTTAAAACATTAAACCCCCCTCCCCCCCCCCCCGTGAAAGCAGCCTCCTCTTAGTTACCTCCTCTAAGTTTAAAATCGTTTCAAACTAAATTATCTGCCCCTAATAGCCGTCACCAAACCCGTCTCTATGATTGTAAAATGTAAACATTTAGAGTGAACTACAACTCACCACAACATGTAGGGGTGGGGGCTGGGGGGAGGGGTAGCGATAGAGAGGAAGAGAGGGGACTGCAAGGAGGCGCTTGCAGCTTGTTTTCTAACTGATCCCAGAAGAGAATTATATATACGAGCCGGCCCGCTGCATAACATACGCCGCTATTGTTGTTGTTTTTTCTACTTTTCAGTAATTCATAATTTGTGAATTCGACAGTACCAACGCTGCCACTGAAAATATTGCTTTAAAACACTATAAGTAGCTCGTTAAGGACCATAACCCCCCCTTCCTTCCCCCCCCCCCTAACGTTTAAAATCGTTGGCTCTGCTTGTAAACATCTAGAGTGAACACAGCTCACTAAAACCATGTAGGGGTGGGGAGGTAGGGATCGCGTTTGCAGCTTGTTTTCTAACGGCTCCCAGAGGAGAATTATATATATAGATAGATAGATTCCTGCACGGATTATTCCCACTTCTAGTATCCGAGACTGGACTCTTCAAGAAATAGGTGTGTAAGGTTTTTAGTAGTGTTGTAATATCAGGTTAAAAGTTAAACTATGGTAGTAATACAGTGAAGTTTAAAATAATTTTGTAAACACGCTGAGAGAATTAACCAAGACTACAAGAACAGACCCCATAATTGGAGAGTCAAACAAGACGGTGTCCTAAATTGATACCTACTAGATTCATTCTTTGACAGGTGATCAATTTGATCCCTGACATACCCTTACTTGTAATCTGTGACGTTACCTGAATTTCTTACGGACAGGCTAGCTAAGGATGACCTACAGAACTGGCACCTAAACCAACCCAGATTTACATTACTACACAAATAAACTCATTTTCTTTGTGTTTACTCAGCATTAAAATCACTTGTGTCGCCGATATAACTGTATTATAAAAAGAAAACACAACCATTTATGCCCCCTCCCCCCCCCCCCCCACCGCCACCACCACTGATTTATCTATAATTTATAAGAACACGACGATTCTTTCACTTTATTCATTGCCAATACCTTGATGATTTTTCTTTGATAGACAATACTGTCATGCATTGTTTTTCCTGATAAATCACCACTACTGTCATGATTCTGTTATAATTATTTACCGTGAATTATAAAACGTTTGTTATGATTATTATGATATTATCAAAACTACTGTTATATTGTTATCTTTGATTTCCATTATGTTTATTTCCTTTGATGTTATCGACACTACAATGATGATTGTCTCCCTTGATTTTATCGACTGCCATTTTGATTGTCCCCTTTTAATTTGATCTCCACAACAATTATTCTTGTCTCCATTGATTTTATCGATACTGATTGTCTCTTCTTTTTTATAAACACTACCATTAAGGTTGTTTCCTTTGATATTACCGACACTACCACCATGATTGTTTCTCTTGATATTACCGACACTACCACCATGATTGTTTCTCTTGATATTACCGACACTACCATTATAATTGTTCCCCTTGATATTACCGACACTACCACCATGATTGTTTCTCTTGATATTACCGTCACTACCATTATAATTGTTTCTCTTGATATTACCGTCACTACCACCATGATTGTTTCTCTTGATATTACTGATACTACCACCATGATTGTTTACCTTGATTTTACCGACTATCCACCATGATTATTTCCCTTGATATTACCGACACTACCACAATGATTATTTCCCTTGATTTATCGCTACTACTGTTATACTCAAAACCCTGGCAATTAGTTCCACCAAGATGGCGGCTTAATAATAAACTGTTCTATAATTGAAAATCTATTTTTGTATCCATAATCCGACACCCTTGTCTAAAGAGTTTGATGAAAGAGAGCCCGAACATTTTGATTGGACACGACTTAATATCAGCCTAACTATAGCCACAGTGATGGTGTTGTTTCCATTATGACCGCCCTTGATTGCTCTCCCCTGGCTTAATTGTTCTGTGTGTGGATGGAGTTGTCTGTCGTGGTCGGTTGTTGGGTGTGATGGTGTATACAGTTGTTCGGTTCGTTAATGGCTTTGAGTGACTGAACGAACTTGACTTTATTGACTTGACTTTATTAATTTGACTCTATTGAATTGATTTTATTGAACTGACTATATAGACATCAAGTTGTAGACTTGACTTTAATAATAAGACTTTTTAAACAAGACTTCTATTGAATTGACTTTATTGAACTAACTTTATCATAGACATCAATTTATATACTTAAATTTAATTAACTGATTTTTAAAACAAGACTTTTATTGACTTGAATTTATTGAATTTATTTTTATTGATTTTGACTTTATTGAATTTATTTTATTGAATTGACTATTAAATATGCTTGATTGACATCAATGTATAGACTTGACTCTATTGATATTACTATTGACTTGACATTATGGACGGCATTATGGACTTGACTTTAGTGACTTGGCTTAAAGGACTTGACTTAATCGTTGGACACTACTTTTTGGTCAACACTATAAATATACCTACTTGAGGGTAAGAAAACAAACATCAGCACAAAAATAAACATGACTTTATGATCATGACTGAAAAATATGAAATGTAAGCATGGTTTTACGGAGGTGATAGCATGACTTTACGAATATATATTACGTATTATCTAATGACTGAAACAACATGACTGCACGACTCTCACTGCATGGATAAGAAAGTAGGCCCGTGGATGATTATTCGGTACATTCACTTCAATACATGATGTATATACCTGTATATAAATATGATTGTATAATTGTATTAACATAATTTTATGACACTTTATAGATATGATTTGGCGACCTCATATATACATATATATATATATATATATATATATATATATATATATATATATATATATATATATATATATATATATATATATATATATGTATATGTATATATATAAATATATATATATATATATATATATATATATATATATATATATATATATATATATATATATATATATATATATATATATATATAATGTTAAGGCATTCTTGTCAAACATGATTGTTTAGACTTGATTTTAAAATATGACTGAATGATTTTGCCGAACCTAACACAACGATTATCGATTTGGCGTAATTGCTATGAGGGTGGGGGTATACCGGCCGCGACACTACATGCTCGGCTTAAACAATTCCACAATTTTTCATTCTTTAAATCACAATCGCAAGCTATAGCCATGCACAATGAAGAACAAACCGAGGATTATCGTGCCAACCATTAAAAAAAAATTAGTTGTCTCGCGACCCTCGTTACACGGGGATTAAACTGTCCAACGCGCTAGGTTCGGCCATTTTGTTTTTCAGATCGAGGTTCAACCATCTACTGTAAAACTGACAAGGCGTGAAACACAGCTTAATGTCATCGTGGTTAGACCAGTTGGTACCGGATGATGTCACGTTGTCAAATTGTCATGGTTTCAAGTTGACATGTTGTCGCGTTCAAATGTTGTCACCTAGTCATGGTGTCCCGCTGTCACGTTGTCATGGTGCAAGGTTGTCACGTTGTCACATTTTCATTTGTTACCTTGTCATGTTGTTACACTGTCACGTTACTACATTGTCACGTTGTCATATCGTCATGTTCTCACGTTATTTTGTTACGTGCAAATATTTTAGCAATATTTCTTGCCCATAACTTGATATGAATTCATATTACTCCTGAAGATCTCATACTCAGATGATATAACAAATAAAAAGGTCTACGAAAGAATCACCAATGTGATTGGTTTTTTGAGAGCTTGCTAAGATTATCAAGGTGAAGTAACTCTGATGTCATGGGCATGTGATGCGATCAAGAGCTTGCTAAGATTATCAAGGCGTAGTAACTCTGATGGTATGGTCATGCCATACCATCACACTGACCACCAAAGACAATCAAGCAGACCATGATACCAGGTGGGCGAAGACGGGGAGGGCAAAGACGTCTTTGAACATCAAGCAATGGACGGGACTGACCGTTACAGATTTACTAACAAATAACAGAAGACCAGGAAAAACGCCAAAGAACTATAAAAAGTCAGCTACGGTACTCAAGTTACTTGCTCATGAGGAGGGGGGCGTGGGCGATTGATATGTATTCATTATTAATTTTTTACCTTTCAAGACTATCAAGACAAGGCCACATGGTCTATTGATAGAGGAACAGAAGTATACAACATTTAACTTTTTAAGCAACTCTGACGGAGAATTTCAGTTTGTTTAACTTGTGCTAGAGTAAAATAAAACAGCCGTTACCGAATCAATCAAGTCTCATTGTCCAAATGTCACGTGCTCGTACGTTATTTATAGAATTGAAAACATTCAACTGTAAACATTACTTATGCCTGTCATATCTCTGTATCACAGGCTAGGCTGTACAGAAAAAAATCGAAGTCCAGAAATAATTGTCCTACCGCGATGCACGTCCAGCTCAGTGGCGTAGCTACTGCATAGGGAGCAGTAACAAGACATGGGTTCTAGAAACAGAGGGTTCTATGACAAATGGTCTCAGGACAAATGGTCTCAGGACAAATGGTCTCAGGACAAATGGTCTCAGGACAAATGGTCTCAGGACAAATGGTCTCAGGACAAATGGTCTCAGGACAAATGGTCTCAGGACAAATGGTCTCAGGACAAATGGTCTCAGGACAAATGGTCTCAGGACAAATGGTCTCAGGACAAATGGTCTCAGGACAAATGGTCTCAGGACAAATGGTCTCAGGACAAATGGTCTCAGGACAAATGGTCTCAGGACAAATGGTCTCAGGACAAATGGTCTCAGGACAAATGGTCTCAGGACAAATGGTCTCAGGACAAATGGTCTCAGGACAAATGGTCTCAGGACAAATGGTCTCAGGACAAATGGTCTCAGGTCAAATGGTCTCAGGACAAATGGTCTCAGGACAAATGGTCTCAGGACAAATGGTCTCAGGACAAATGGTCTCAGGACAAATGATCTCAGGACAAAAGATATCAGGACAAATAATACCAGGGAGAAATGATCTCAGACAAAATACCCCAAAGCAAAATATTTATATAGCATAAGAAAATAAGCTGAACTTATATTGACGAGTTTATGGCCCTAAACTCAACCCAATCCTTTAATCAGCTACTGACCACAGCGTCAATTATTCGTATCAAGACGTCATACACTTGATCTAGCACAAGATGCTCTGAAGCATATGAAGGTATGGTCAGCCGCCTTTACTTTCTCTAACGTGAGTCCGGTATCCTTTAGAGCAGGGTGGACTTACAGATGTCGTACGGGTTTGAGCCCGGAATCCGAACTCGAGACTATCGGGTTAGCAGTCTAGCGCTCTACCTCTAGGCCACGCTGTTCGCAATTCTGGTTTAGTGCGCGCTATAAACGTTTTTTTTGTTGCTGTTTTATTTCGTGATATACACCCTGCTCACGCAATTCACAGCGCCGACACGCAATCCCAACCTTTAACCCCCTACAGTTACTGATGTTGACACATGCAGCAACAACACAACACACCGCTACCCGCGAGGGAAATTTAGATTGAGTTATCAACGCCCGAGGCCATATCCGAGGGCAGCGGCGGCGCGACACCACGGCCGCGCATGCCCACTCACGCCGGCTAGCAGACGACACGGGTACAGCGAGGCTGGATGCCGGCGAGACGACACCGCAGTGTCGCATCTGGCGGGCCGGTCTGGTTGTTGTGTGTTGACTTCCGTGCTGTCCGCCGCTCCGACACTCGTGTGATTAACGTCTGCTGTTTACCTGCGTCAGGTGAGTCAACGATCAAAGTTTGTTGATTAGTTTTGTTCATGGATACATCGATGAGTGTTACGGCTGTGCTCTATGACAATTCTGGATTGTTAAATACACAGTTAATTATTTTGAAAAAATTTGAAGCGATTTAGTGAGAAAACTACGCACATTTGTGTTTGTTTTCGTCCTACCATGTAGATCTAGTATAGACCTAAATGTATGCACTTTGCTTTATTTTCAACTGTTTCGCTTCATCTTTCCTAACCTTACCCCTTCCACCATCACGATAGTTAGAGGTCAAAAATGATGTCACGGCCTCTCAACCCTAGCATTACAGGGCGTCACAAACAACCAGACCCCCCCCCCCCCCACCCCCACACCCCTTTACAAGTTCCATATTTAGTTGGAAATCACAGTTCTACCACCAAGTAAATCAACCGGTTTACCATAATTTGAATCTTAAAGAAATACAATATTAAAACTACGCACCCCCTTTCGACTTTCAGGGAATACATCTTCACCATAGTTTCTCCGGGCATCTCTTCGCAACCCCTCCCCCCCCCCCTCGAAATAAATAGAATTTATATAGAAAATATATAATATACTCTTACCAGTGTCGCCCCCCCCCCCCTCCCCGGAAAATTTAGTCCGCCCTTCCCCCCTAAATTTTAAGTGCCCCTACCTGAGAAAAACGTCTGAAAGAAACACTGGCTGATCTTCACATAAATCTGACCCTACGTTTTACCCTGTTTGACTTATATTGATGGCCCGACCCACCTACAACTTTTAGGTAGTTGTGTGTTGGTGTTTACCCTGTTAGTTGTGTGTTGGTGTTTACCTAAATCTCCAGCTCTTATTGACTCAATTGAAACAAAATCAATCGCATGTTCTCTCTTAAATCTGGCGCTCTTCACATCTCGTAGTGGCGCCATCACCAAACAACAACCACCGGTTGAACTGTTGCTTTGTGTTACCATGTCCGAAGTAATGTATATCAGACTTACAACGTTTTAAGCCAAAGTTTTATAACATAAAACTTTAACTTGATTCAATACTAATCCACATACACATTTTAAATTGCTCAATAGCTAGAATATCTTCTTAAATTTTAGAATAACTTTTTTAAATGATAATAATAATATTTACAATATTTTACTAAGCAACATAACTCGAGAGAACCAGAAACTTTTCTCCCGTATTTCACAGTACTGGTTTGTGCATAACCGTCCTTTTATTCTTTCTCACACTATTTTTTTTTTTGACTGACCCTGACGGATAAATTATTGACGACATAGGCCTAATTACTTGACGAAAAAACTTCATTGACAAAATAATTTATACTCTCGCACCATTTTATTTCTCGCTGACCTTGATATATGAACTCATACTCTCGCACCATTTTATGTCTCGCTGACCTTGATATATGAACTCATACTCTCAAACTCTCTATTACCATTCCGCGCCTAATTCTTTAGTCAACGGTTATGTTTTTGCTGCCGGAGTGGTCTCTGTACAATATTTAACCGCGGAGCTGGAACAATCCTCATTAGGATATATCTATACCAACACCCCATCCCTGATGTAGTTCCTCTTCAGTCGAAAGCAACATGTCGCCTGCAGATCTGATGTAAATCCTGTTGATGTGGTTCATCCAGGACTTTACACATTACAGTTGGTCCTAAAAATTATGTCCTCCATCACACATTACAGTTGGTCCTAAAACTAACATCCTTCAGGACTTCACACATTACAGTTGGCCCTAAAAATTATGACCTCCATCACACATTACAGTTGGTCCTAAAACTAACATCCTTCAGGACTTCACACATTACAGTTGGTCCTAAAAATAATTTCCTCCATCACAGATTACAGTTGGCTCTAAAACTAATGTCCGCCATGACTTCAAACTAACGTCCTCTTCAACTAAGAGAAAACGGAAGCAGTTTGTTTATTTTTGTCGTAATCACTCTGAAAAAAAGTCTTTTTTGATACGGGTTTGTCTGGTTAAGTATGAGAAAAATACGCAACCTTTTTGCTTGTTGGCCCCTGGGCCATTGGATAGTTGGCCCACGCATGAGCATGCCCTGATTTGTTTGTACATTTTTCTATTAAAATTTGCAGCGACACGTACACCGTAGCTATTTTTTTTGTGCATGTGTAAAATTTAATAATGTAACGATTTCTGTATTTTTTTTAATGAAACCTTGGTATATTACAATCCAATTACAGTCCTATTTATAGATTAGCCGACCTTATCTTCCGTTATCTGATTTCAAATTGCCAGATTTCTTCTCCTTACCGTCGCTCGAGTAGTCTTCTCGTTGCTATGGTTACGTCGGTGGAAGTAGCCGCCGCCGTGCTTTAGAGCCGGAGCGTCCCCCATAAACATGTCAAGTCTTTTCTTCAGCGGTGACGTCTTCATAGGTTTGGATAGGACGTCTTCATAGGTTTGGATAGGACGTCTTCATAGGTTTGGTTAGGACGTCTTTTTAGTCATGACGTCTTCATAGGTTTGGCAAGGACGTCTTCATAGGTTTGGCTAGGACGTCTTCATAGGTTTGGCTAGGACGTCTTTTTAGTCATGACGTCTTCATAGGTTTTGGTTAGGACGTCTTCATAGGTTTGGGTAGAACGTCTTCATAGGTTTTGGTTAGGACGTCTTCATAGGTTTGGCTAGGACGTCTTCATAGGTTTGGCTAGGACGTCGTCATAGGTTTGGTTAGGACGTCTTTTTAGTCATGACGTCTTCATAGGTTTTGGTTAGGACGTCTTCATAGGTTTGGGTAGAACGTCTTCATAGGTTTGGGTAGGACGTCTTCATAGGTTTTGGTTAGGACGTCTTCATAGGTTTGGTTAGGACGTCTTCATAGGTTTTGGTTAGGACGTCTTCATAGGTTTGGGTAGGACGTCTTCATAGGTTTGGCTAGGACGTCTTCATAGGTTTGGTTAGGACGTCTTTATAGGTTTTGGTTAGGACGTCTTCATAGGTTTGGCTAGGACGTCTTCATAGGTTTGGTTAGGACGTCTTTATAGGTTTTGGTTAGGACGTCTTCATAGGTTTTGGTTAGGACGTCTTCATAGGTTTGGGTAGGACGTCTTCATAGGTTTGGGTAGGACGTCTTCATAGGTTTGGCTAGGACGTCTTCATAGGTTTGGTTAGGACGTCTTAATTTTTAGTCATGACGTCTTCATAGGTTTGGTTAGGACGTCTTAATTTTTAGTCATGACGTCTTCATAGGTTTGGCTAGGACGTCTTTTTAGTCATGACGTCTTCATAGGTTTGGTTAGGACGTCTTCATAGGCTTGGTTAGGACGTCTTCATAGGTTTGGTTAGGACGTCTTCATAGGTTTGGTTTGAACGTCTTCATAGGTTTGGTTTGAACGTCTTCATAGGTTTGGCTAGGACGTCTTCTTGGTTTTTAGTTACGACGTCTTTTTAGGTTCGGTTAGAACGTCTTCATTTATAAAGTTGTGAAGTCTTATTAGGTTTCGTTATAACGTCCTCATTGTTATAGCTGTGCCTTCTTCTCATGTTTCGTTAGAACGTCTCCACCCACTCAACTAGAACATCATTACCAGTTTCGATAGAACGTCGTAATCTCTTCCGTTATTGGTGATTAGGGCGTTGCACACAAAACGTTTTCATCAAAACCAGCCGCGCATAAAACACGCAACAACCCCAGAACACATTTTCAGTTTGCCGCGTCCTCTCGTTTTCCAGTGGCTTTTCCTCGTGTTAAGTAAAAAAAAAATTAGACCTTCCCCCCCCCCCCATGAGCACCATATTCCTTCTGTTAATTTTACGAGCACTCTCTCTGTATGAATACATTCTTCTTTCATTAATCGTGTTGGTAGAGTAATCATTTGCTAACCCAAAGTCTCGAGTCTGTTCTCTTTGAGCCCACTCAGTTCTATTGGATACCTGCCTCGAATTGGGAAAAGTAAATATTGATGGGAAATCTACAGGCCACTCAGTCTCATATGATACAGGTCAAAGAAACACATCAAATCTACTTACCCTGCTTTTTCCAGGCCTTCAGATTACCATAGAAACAGTTACATTTGGACCCGGTTTGAGACAGGTCTCGACAAAACAACAGAAAGTTCTGCCATGGATCTTTACAGTTGATTGTCACCCGGTGCGGCACTTAATGGTGTCACCCCCCAGAGGCATAGAGACCCTTCCCAGGGACAAACTTTCAAATTTTCGATTTGCACCCCCCCCCCCCTCAAACTTTCGATTTGCATCCCCCCCCCCCTCAAGTTTTCGATTTGCACCCCCCCCCCTCTAACTTTCGATTTACACCACCCCCCTCGAGTTTTTCTCTATATATTTTGCTATTTTTTGCCTTGGTGTCACCCCCCTAAATGGTGTCACCCGGTGCGGTCCGCACCCCCGCCCCCCTCGCTACGCCCCTGAATCAAGGGAGTCTATCTCGTGTACGTGTTCAAGGGCGAAGATTTTGTAGACACCGCGCGATCAATGAAACACAAAGTACCCACGGACGAGTAGTATACAATGGCAGCAATAAAAAAACAGCTATAAATAAATATACGGCCATCTTGATACGAAAGGAGACGTGTTTTTTGCGAGACAAATAGTTTGTGGTCAATAGCATTTAACAGGGTCATTCGTTTTATATAAGTTAAAACTTTCTTGCATCGATTTCACATACATTTTCTTCTAATTAAGTACGAATTTATTTTAGTTAAAAAAAATCGTTCACGTCTTTAAATTACAAGATGGCTGTTATTTTCCTGACCCCCCCCCCCCCCCCCAAAACGACGCAACGATCTCTAAGCTTGTTTTTCTTCTGTCAAAGCACTCTTGGTATATCGCCTTTTTACAACCGTGATACGCCGCCCGCGCCCCCACCCCACCCACACCATGTCAACAGAGCATTATTCGCGGTAATTAAGAGACAAGCATTTCTTTAGATAGAAGCCACGTTAATTAACATTCGTCATCAACTCGGATTTACGTTTAGACAGTGGCTATATATTTTCTCGTTATTTTG